AACATTGTACACTTTTTTAGTGTACCTGTAGTCTTAGTAGGAAACAAGACGGACTTGCATCAGGAACGCACGGTTTCCACGGAGGAGGGCAAAAAACTGGCTGAATGCTGGCGGGCAGCATTTCTCGAAACATCCGCCAAACAAAATGAGGTGAGTCCGTTCACGTGTGATAAGATTAATTCGATATTCATATTGAACTTCGTATATTCCAGTCTGTCGGTGATATATTTCATCAGTTACTTATGCTAATCGAAAACGAGAATGGTAATCCCCCCGAGAAGAGCAGCTGTATTTTATCATAAGCACTTGGCAACCGGCAGCCAGCAGCCAGCGTTAACCATTTTGAAGCTATGGCTCGTACAATGGCAATACGAAATTGTTTCAATATCTATTGTTATGAAAACACCTTGGTCCGCAAGAAGGGAAAAATTTACAAACTAATAGTCTTAAGTAATAACAGCAAATGAAAAAGAAAACATAAACTATAATCATCAAATATTTAGGGATCCCTAATGTTGCCTAGCAGCGTTCGTGGTGACTGTTTAGCAACAAAGCAGGTTTAAGTTAGTACACTTTTTCACAATAACAATTCAGTTACAAAGTTCATATGCAAAATAAAATATGCGACTTATATTATCCTTAGTTTCAATTTAAATATAATTTTTACTAGTAATAAATCAATGCGTTTTTTTTTTTCAATAACTGGCATTTGTTTAGTTTCCTGTTTTCTTGTTGTCAAACAATTTAAAGAGAGTTTTGACTAGTTGGAGCAAATGCTGGACGAGATGTTTTTCTACTTCTAACTCAAGCTGAGTAAGAGAATTATAATCTTCTGATGAATCTATGGGAGAAACTACGCATCTAAATATAAATTGGAAAAACGAAATTAGTGACTGCAGCCTTTATGTAGATTTCACAAAAAGGCGACAATATTTAATAAGAAGACTAATAGATTGCGTACTTATTATTATGATTAGTAATTTAACAAGCGTGGAACAGACAACAGATAAACAGCTTGCTGACGATGTATTTGAAACGGATTGAATGGAAAATCATTCTATCGTAGCAGCTGATAATAAAAATATAAGAAATCTTACTAAACTGTCTCTGGAACTAAATTGAAGGCTGTGGCAAATAATTATTTTAGTTGTTTTTTTTTTTTGAGTTGTGTTCATATTTTAAATCACGCGCCAACAAAATCAGTGCTGTGTATTGTGAAAACATTTTACAATCAGTTTCACAGCACTGGTTGTTGTTTATGTTAGTCCGCGTTTTTTATTTGCCGCTGAGAGATTTATAAAATGGATCTAAATACGCTACTACAACGTGCACAGAACCTTACAAAAGAAAAGGATGAATGCGAGCTACCTGGCGTGGAGCGTACACTTCAACAGGTGCTACAAGCCACCGAGGAGCTACACAGACGCGTCACCCAGACCGGCACCAAGGAAATACAAGCGTAAGTGTTAACTCCATGCTGCACGGACGCGCTCGTGAATGTAAACTATTTATTTATAGGCAAATACTGCTTGGCTCCAAGGGCATCGATCTGCCGAAGCTGAACCAGAAGCTGGAGACGCTCAGCGCGGGTAAAACTTTCGAGCCCCTGGATGTGGCTGGCGCGGACACAGATGTGTGCACGTTTCTCAAAAATGAACGTGAAAATGCCATTTTGTCTGTCATCGAGGATACCAATAAAAATGTATGTAATCCATTTGGCAAAACAGAGGTTGACATTCAGGTTTATTACCATACGATACGCAGATCAGTGACTCGGTTAGTAAGCAAAAGTGGGCAAATTTGATCAGCAGCTGGAACGAGGAAAAAACACGCTTGCTGGACGCTTTGATTGGACCATCGCAGAATTTCATCGATTTGCAACGGCTGCCCGACCAGACAATATTGGCACCAGAATGCCATCCGCTCTCCTGCCTTGATAAGATGGGCCTACTATACGCCCAGGAGCTGTGCCAGTACAATGCACTCGTGCTTAAGGGTGGCTCTCGTCCAAATCTAATACAGAAATACGCACAGTTGACCAGCACTTTTGGGGATGCTCGCCTCACGGACATGTGGACGCTTCTTGCCTGTGTGACTCAAGTGAGCGAAGTCCATCAGGAAGATCCCATCAAGAGCCGCCAGCAGCGGCCAGATTTCGTATTGAATGCCAAATTGTATCTGGAGCAACGCTACAGGTTCTACATAAATTCACTGGTGACCGTGGCCAGCGATGCCGACAGTTATCAATTGGTGCGCGCCTACGTGAGTCGCTGCTTTAGCGGACAACAAGCCATTGGTCTGGTGGACACAGCTGGCGGCAAGCCGCTTTGGCCGCTTATCTATTACAGTCTACGATGCGGGGCTGTTGAAACCGCTGTGGAGTTCTTACATGAAGCTGGCTCAAGCTATGAGGAATTCGCTCAGCTTATTGCAGATCGAAATGGAGGCATGGTCAACTCCAAGATTGAAAACCAGCTGAAATTACAGTATGCGAACAAAATACGCAATTCAACTGATGCCTATAAGAAGGCGGTATACTGCATCCTGCTGGGCTGCGACGCCAACGAGGTGCACGGGGAAGTGGCCAAAACAATCGACGACTTTATCTGGATCAGATTGGCCATGCTGCATCCCGGGGACTCAACTGGCTATGGCCAACTGCAGAGCCTGATCATAGACACTTATGGCGAGAAGTATTTTAATGCTAGTCAACAGCCCCATCTTTACTTCCAAGCGCTAGCACTCACCGGTCAGTTTGAGGCAGCTATTGAGTTCCTGGCTCGCTCGGATGCCAATCGGGTGCACGCAGTCCACATGGCCATAGGTCTACATGAGCTGAGCATGCTGGGCGGCGTGCGAAGCGTGTCGCAACCGTTGCTCACAATTGACATATCGGATCCAACGCCGCTCCGTCGTCTCAATCTGGCGCGCCTCATTCGTCTCTATGTACATCGCTTTGAGGCGATGGACACTGCCGAGGCACTGCACTACTATTATACACTGCGTAACCTGCATGATCCCAAGGGACGGAACATGTTTCTAACATGCGTTTGTAGTTTGGTCGTAGACAGCGGCGTGCTGGACACCAGCATATTTGATTTGATATTTGGACACCGACAGCGGGCAAATGTCAACGATGACGAACTATCGGGGTATGTACATATAGCTAGTCAGTTCGGATGGTTTAAGACTTTTTAATTTCCTCCACAGTGGCCTCTTTGGCCAGTTCAGCTGCTCAGAGTTTGACACGCATACCATGGCTGGGCTAGTCGCCGATGAGCTGGTAACGCGCGGCAACTTTGAGATGGCTGTGCGGCTCTATGAAATTGCTGGAAATCTAAATTTGGCACTGAAGTATATATCCATATTGTTGGCCCAGGTGGTGCAAGAGCCTCCAGTAGAGGGAACATTGCGAGCGCGGCTTAGCCTGGAAGCACCGCGGTTTAGCGCACGCATGACTGCCCACTCCTCGGATATAGAGCCTAAGATCTATGTCAGCTTTACATTGTTACGAGATTTGCTCACGTTCTTTGATAATTATCACGAAGGCAAGTCCAAGGCGGCGTTACAGCAGCTTCAGCGCATACCCAACATCATACCCAACAGCACGGAGGACGTGGCCAGCTGCCTGGCAAACGTGAGACAATTGAGTGGCGATGTCATCAAGGTAATACCCGATGTTATGGTGGCCGCAATGGACCTGACTCTCACAGAATACAATCAGTTGAAGCCAAAATCAACATCAAACAGCTCCATACAGCAGCAGCGGTCAAATGAGCTGCGGGAACGCGCCAAGGCCATTGCCAACATGTCCGCTACTATGCCGTATTGTCCCACTAACCAGCGTCTGTTGCAGCTTGAGCTGCAGATGCAGTAAGATAAATAAAATCGTATTAAAAGGTGTTTGGGCTTAGATTTATTTGAGCAGCAGCCAAATGTATTCATCTTCGTCTTCTTTCGCATTTACGTGAAGCATTTCCTCCAGTTGAGCTATCTTTTTGCGCATGGCGTCAATTTCTTCCTGCATCTCGCGGCACCGATTCTCCTGCGTTGCACACTTGTTGCAGTTTATGTCACAGATCTGTTCTTCTCCGGCATCATCCTCGTTCTCTTCTGCCTCAACTGTCTCGTTGCTGTTCGTGCTAATTAATGGTTCGTCTTCGTCATTGTCCATGTTCCCATTAATATTATCCTCTTCAAATTCAATGTTCTCCGAGTCTTGTGGCGCCTGCAGTGGATCGAAATCTTCTAGGCCCAAATGCAATTCAGGATATGCGTTCACGACGAGTTTGCGTCTGAGTAAAAAACTTGGTCGAAAGTGCTTCCGGCATATGTCGTAGTGTTTCCGCACATCTTGTAATCCGCATATTTGCAACCATTTGGCTCGTAGCTCCGGTTTCGTTGGAAATGTGTGTAATATGTCTGGTTGCCGCACCTTACAGTTTCTAACACAACACTTCCGCCGCCTCAAAATTGTTTTTGGCTTAACGGGTTGATGTATACCCTCAGTTTTACCTATAAAACGGAGACGGTAAGTTCGGCTCATCAGCTCTCAGCTGTTTGCTCTACCCACCTGTACCCAAATGGAGTGTTGGCACTGCCCAGGGATGTAACTTTTTCTTGCCGTGACAATCTGGTGTGAAGTGGCGTCGGCATATTAATGATCGGCAGGACGAAAGGAAGCGGACGTTCGTAAGTCCTAGATTTTCTTTCCACTTTTGGTTCATTTCGGGATCCATTGGAAATTTAAATAGGTTTGTGAAATCCTGCAAGCCGCTGGCATTACAGTTTATTGCCATACATTTTCTCTTCAGTTTGGGCACCATCAGGAATGCCTGTGCTCTATTTTGGAATCGTCGCGCAACTTATTGGCATAGTGCTGAACAATTTGTAATTTCATCTCTAAAGACATCTGTTCGTCAGCTGGATCCATGTACTTAAGAGGACCTAGAAAACAGTATTTTACGAAAATTTCGATTCAGTCACACTGCAATATTTATCGATAGTTTTGCTTATGCCTCTCGAAATGGTAATAGGGTTTTAAGAAAATGCGTAGTAAAGTTAGTGGAAAATGAAAATGTTTTTTGTGAAATAAAACAAGTGTAAGTTTCAATCATAGTTCCAGGTTGTGCAAAACAATCTTACCATTGCTGCTGCTAGTTACAAAACGTGTACCGCACAGAGTGCAAATACCATGAAGCTCTTGTGTATTTCGGTTTGTCTCTCGCCGCTTGTCAATGACTCTAAAACTGTTGATAACGATTAATCATCGATAAGTGAAACCCGAATAATAGTAGTAGTACAATTTCTCGCTCTGGATTTAGTACATGTTTACTTACATACAAACGCACATGCTAGGCTAATAGCAACTTGATATATAAAACAAGGTAAAAGGCGTCTGTAATCCAAACCCGACGACAATATGAAATGTCTTGTGTGCGTGTGCCGCAATAAAAAGCAATAAGAAGCACAAGTGTTGTTTGTGTGCTGTGGGGGTGGTGAGGTGGTTAGTCTGTGTGTTGGGCGTGGAACGCACAATTGGCAGGCATATGTATATGCAATATATGTATATATGTGTGTATATTTTTGTAAAGTCCAGCAGACAAACAAACTCTGTCCGAATCCGTCTCGCCAGAGTTAACGAAGCGCGAAATTGAGTTAAAGTGACTTGTGGGCTGAGTGTCGTCGGATTTTGGAAGGCTGTTCACATTCACCTGTGTCTCTTCGTCATGTTAGTTGGTGATTAAAGTGTTAACTTAGCTCCTTAATTCGCCTGCGCAAAAAACTGTCTGTGCTCACACGCTTCAGCTAATTGTTTACATTGTGTTCGTCGCCTTGCTGGAATTTCTTCTAAAATTCATTTGTGAGCGATCTACATGCGCACGCACACATACATACGCTTACAGACGTGTCTGTGTGTTTTCAATTGGATCATTAATATTAATATAGGCGCGCATTTCAACGATTTCAATTGGCATATGTGTTTGGCGTATGGATTAACGGATTCCATAAATATTTGCAGCTTTTGATTTTAATATTGAAAAAAGAAAAACACATCGCACCAGACTGTTCGCAATGATGGAGTAAACAGCTGCTGAGAGGGGGAACACACAAGCACCATGTCATTGCAGCCGACAGTTGCAAGCGGCAGCGCTTCGGGCAACCCTCAGTTGCTGCGCCCCCAGACGCTGGCGGGTCCGGAGCGGGAGCCCGTCGAATTCAACATCAATCTGGTTGGCGCACCGCCCGAGGTGGAACAGCTGGTTCAGCAGATTAAGTGCGTGGCCGAACAGTTTCTATATCACTGGAAGAGTTTTCCCATTGGTAAGTGCACAGCACTGCAAATGTGGTGAAATAAGTGTTGATTAAGTTTTGTGGACATTTACAGTTCTGCCCCAGCCACTGGCGACTAGCACGCTTAATGTAACGGCCAGTAATGCGACAAATAGTGTCAGCGGTCGCAAAAAGCGTCCTATTAATCAGAGTGACCTATTTATAGCGCCGCCCTTTGATGAATTGGATGCGGTTGCCTCCGATGGCAGCGGCGAGCCGCGTCGCCTAACAAATGCACAATTGAAAAGTTTGCGCGAAACTGGGTGAGTCTGGGGTCGTATGCATGCATGCACACACAAAAATTCGATGGCTGCTGTCTGGCAAGGAAGTTAATGATAATGATGATGCAGGCGAGCAGAAAATATCCACAATTTTAAAAAGCAGCATGCGCACAAGCACTGCTGTCGGCGCGTGCTTTTCGCTGAAGATAAACACTAAGCCATGAAACGATAACATTCAAATAAACGAACTTAGCACTGCCGACTGCAAGCCGTTGTGCTTACATATGTACATATGTATGTAGCTAACATTAACATGCCGCTGCTAAGCTTAGCAGCACCGTTGCACCACTCTGCGCAGCTGTTCTACATACTACATACTTGTTTTATGCAAACGCTTCGCCCAAACAACAGCAAACATCATTTGACACTTTGCGCACGCTCACGCAGCTGTTAACAAAAAAAAAAAAGAAAAAGCAAAAGCAACAATCCAAATAAAAGCATGTTCCACAGTCTTGGGGGTAAACGGAGTAAATTGTTGTTTTTTGTTTAGTTTCGTTAAACGTTATTTGCATGCAACATTTTTTTGAAATATATTTTATTCAACTTTACAACATTAACATAACGACAAAATGCGCAAATATTATGTGTGTACGTAACTGCATACAGTTACAATTAACGTAAACAAAATGTTTGTATGTGAAATATTCCTGTAAAGCTTGCAAAAGGATAAATATGGAAAGCCGAAGAAATTAACTTTGGAACAATTGGAAACAATACGTAAAAATGGGTAAATAAACAATAAGCAACAAACTAAATAAAATCAAAATAAATGTTTTGCGTGTTTGCCATATTGCATATCAAATTGTTTAGTCAGTGTTCCTTATTTTATACCGATTGTACATACATATACAAATATATACACGCATACATATAAAGTTCTCATTTTTCTTTATCCTAACATACATAAATTATGCGTGGTAATTTCTATTCTGTGTTTTTAAATACACATTCATAATTTACGCTACGCCAAATTTATGCATGCCGTCGAATCGAATCGAATCGAATCGAAAATTCAAAAAAACGAATGCCAACACGAAAACAAACAGAAACAAAAAACGTTTTGGCAGTTCCTATGAAAATGTTGCCTCTAGCGTTAAAAGTTTAATTGCCTTTTTTTCGGAACATAACTTGTGTGTTTCTTAAAAACATTTTGAGTTATCCATTTAAAGAATTCGTAGAAAGATTTTGACAGAGTTGTCAAAGTTTCAATAATATTATTTCATTTGCAATCTATAAAAAAGAGTTTATCAACAAACCGCCTGGTCGAAATAAATATTGATTTATATTTATCCTTATTTTACATATTCCTTAATTTATAGTATTAAATGGGTTGTAATTCCTTGTTGTCTTAAACTATTTTTTAGTTAGGCAATGCCAAGGCTGCAAATCCGTTTTGAATTTGGAAGTAATAATAATAATCTATGAATTATGAATAGTTGGTCATAGAACCAAAACCCCGAATTCTATGATATTTTTGAGTTTGCAGCTTTGGGCACCATCCAATATACAACAAAAAACAATCATTTCACTTGCACACACAGACATTTTAAATGTAATTAATTAAATAGTAGCATAATTTACACGGATGCGGAAGAATACTCTTAAGAATCTGGCCCACGCTTGAGCATGCCTATAATTTGTCAATAAGTTGTGTCTCGTTCTCGTCTCAATATATGTGTACATATGTGTGTTTTATGTTGCCTTAAATTATTAGTCGCTATAAATATATTTTCGTATGCCCTCTATCTAAGACTTTCGCATTTGCATTCACAGAGAATTCGATGTTCCGAGCTTGCATTTTACAGGCCAGGTGCACAAGTGGCGCCTGTCCCAGCTGCTGCAAAAGGGCACGCTGCGCGCCCACGACTCCTTCTTAAGCGACTTGGCCTTGGCAGCGCGTTTTGTGGTCGTCACGGCCCGAGCTCGCATCTTCTCGCACTTCTTTTCAGTGGTGCATGCAGCGCACGCACTGCTGGAAGCGCTAATCCGGCTGGTGGACATGTTTATCGGTGTGCCCGCTTTGTTGGCACACAATCTGGACTACAAGATCAAGGAGGAACGTTGTCGCTTTCTTATAGCTGAGCTGGTGTGTCGGGTAAGTGCGAAGAACAATGACACTGAGCAACACTCTGGAAACCTTATTTGATTGGATGACGGTTTAATCTGAATCATTTGCCTTGCAGCCGGAGTTCGAGGACTGTCTGGATGGCCTGTGCTCCTATGTGCGCAAAATGCTGCGTCGAGCTACCATGGAGAAGTTTGATTTCAACAGCTGTGAGGTGTCTCAGCCCGTGCCATATCTGTTCTTGACGCCCAAGGGCCAGGAGATCGATCTGCGTCTGTTCTGCCGGGACATAATGCGCAAGGCGCTGCCCGTGCTAGTGGGAATACTGGAGCGCGAGACACGCGGCTGGTTTCTGCATTTTCGTGAGCGCCTGATTGCAGAGCTACGCGCCAAGAAGCTGACCGACAAGGAAATTGAGGAGGAGGTCAATGAGGCTGTCATGAAGGAGTATTTGCAGCGTGTCTATAGCTCCATCATGTCCAATGCCAAGCTCGCCGAACTAGGTAACGGTGTGTCACAGCTGTTGGTGGAGCAAGCCCAGTCAGTGGTCATCATGTACAAGGCCGTTGACAAGGTGCAGCAGGACATTAAGCGAACGCGTGAAGACCATCAGAAGTGCCTGGCCAACGATCACTCTGTGCTTTCCCGCGTGGCGCCCTGGCTACGCTCCAAGCTGCGCCATGCCGAGCAGCACAAGCTGTACAAGTGCGCCTGGTCGGCGCACGAGGAGGCCCTCAAGATGTGCAGCCAGCACAATCTGCATCAGACTGCCTACTTCCTGTCGCGCGATCTGGCATTCATGAAAGAGCGCGAGCCAGTGCTGCTCAAGGAATTGAAGAATGCTAAGACGCCAACACGCAGCTTCCAATGGGCTTGTCGCATCTGGTCGCCGCAGTCTTGGATTATACGACGCAATTTTCAAGGGCAATCGGATGTGATCCCCACGGTCATAAGCCAGCAGGCCACTTCCATAGTCACTCCACGCTCGGATCCCAGTCAGCCGGTATTTTTGGTTGAGAAGGAAATGATACGCACCACCAGCACGCGCTGGCCTTTCTGGCGTCTGTTGAATCTGCTGCAGCGAACCTGGTGCTGGACTTGGAACATGATGTTCCTCCTCGGCATTCTTGTTCCCTGGTGCAGCCCGCTCGGGCTGCGCGCCCTCTTCTGCATCAAGCCGTTCATGCCCGACCTGGAATTGTCTCAAATTAATGGCACGCTTTTCCCACGCAAGACCAGCATCACACAGACGTTAGCCTCACGGCTTATTGAGCTCTGGCGACACATATCAAAATCACGCACTCACTTCGAAACGGAACCAGACACAGGTGAGGTACAACTATATTTGGTTCTTGCAACAATCGGTAATCTTTATTAATATTCCTGTAGGCTTCATTGGCAAAGGCTTGACACGCAATTTGAATCGAACTTGGAATTACTTTGTCAAAGGTTTTCTGGGCACCATTGTCATTCTGTTTGCATTCCCACTGATATGCTTGGCGACATGTTTCCTCAGCATTGGGCTGGCATTGAGCGCACCGCTTTGGATTCCAGTATTTGTTCTTCTGTTGCACATCTACATGATACTCGTCTATGATTTGGACGCGCCGGACAACACTCGAAATCGATACTGCATTCTGCTGGAGGCGCTCATATGGAACTTTCTTATTCAGGGCTTACTGCAACCGCTGGCGGCGATTTTGGTGGCCACGCTGCTTTGTCCGCTGGCGGCAGGTCTTGTGCTGATAGGTAAATGTGTGAATTTATGTGCGTTTTTAGAGAAGATTGCTAATTGTTTATAATTGTTTTAGTTGGCGTCGTTCGATACACACTGCGGCTACTTTGGGATTCGGTAACGTTTCATTTGTTCATTAAGAAATGCGGACGGGTTCCTGCCTCGGATAGCATTGCCGTCAAACGCATTGCTGGTCCGGGCTTGGCTTTGGACTATTATTTCATTATACGGCCGGAGCAGGCTTTGGCAGCACTAGAGGCTAAAATGGAACTGGACGAGCTGCAGGCCTATCAGCATGCCACTGAGCGTGTGGTATTGCAGCCACAGCAGGATTTCTTGCAATTTGTCGAAGCCTGTTTTGGACCCTTTTCCGCCCAGTTGTCGAAAACGGGTCCATATTTAGCACTCGATCGCGAGGCTCAGGATTTAATGAGCTCACTACACGAAAAACTCGAGAAACGTCGCAGGGAATTACAAACGAGCCTAACTACGCAGGTTAAATCGCGTATCAAGCTGAACACCAAAGAATTGAAGGTATAATCATACAGTCTGTCCGATTTAGAGCTATCTTGATCAAGCTTGTGAAACATATTAAAGCTTATGTACTTTGCTCTTTACAGATTGCAATACAACTGGCCGCCCATTTACTTGAGAAATACTATCCGTCTCATGTCATCGGTAGACTGTCCATTAGCGAAGAAGAATTTTGGGATAATAAGGTAAAGAAGATCTGCTGAATAACGAGATGAATTGACATCATATATAGTTAACGTAAAATCTCTCTATGGTCGCTTTGCAGGGTCTCTCGGTCAACGATTGGCCGGGTCTCGCGGGTCTCATATATACCGAGATATTTAGTTTAGATTTTCTAACGCCATTGACTGAAAATGATACGCATTTTAAACTAGAACCACATGCCTCGCTAGATCTAATGCGCTACACGGAGATGGTAAAGAATGCCAACGATGTGATCGGTTCCAAGGGACTGGATTTGTTGGGCAATGTGTATGCGCCACGCGGCAATGTCCAGGTGCATTTACCATTCCTGGAAGTGACCGCATTTAATCCGCGCTCACGCATCACGTTGACTTTTCGTAAGCCCGAGAAGCGGTAAGACATTTGAATGCATTCCCAACACATGAGATTCAACTTTATCACGTTTGATTGTTGTAGCGATATGTCCGTGGGCCTAACGACGCCACGAGTGCGCGCCCATCGTGCTCAACATATACCAAAAGCCACGCAGGACGCCCAAAAGCCTTGGCGTCCATGGAAACAGAAGTGCGTGGAGCGAAGCGTCACTGAGAAATTGCTGATACCGCTGCCAGTTCCACATCCTGTTCACATTGCCATTGCCATTTACAATCGCGATACGGAACAGCCAATTCCGCTGGACTCAGAGCTTGTTTGGGAGATACTCAAGTCTATCGAAGACTGCCAGAACGGCGAAGCTATGGTATGTGCGCTTTCAATTGAACTAAATGTATATTTTGTATTAAAATTCCATATTTGGGTCAGGCTGTGCATTCGGTGGCGCGCTATCATGGCGCCGTCATGGAGTCTAGCAACGATTCGTTGGCCAGCAGCAGTAGCATTGGCAGCACGCGCGACTCTGGCTCCGGCTCGGTGTCTGGCTCTAACTTGGGCAACGGCACGGAAACTTTACCATGTGGAAATCGTGAGGTGCGTTGGTTTAAAAAATTCTACTCTGGAATTTTTAACATTTCAATGCTCGATTTAGGTTTGCACGCAGGTCAAAGTCGACGCAGAACCAGCACCCAGCGCATCCGGTTTTCACTGGACCCTTAGCAATTGGGGTGCCGCGCAAACGGCACGCCGACGCACTAACTCCAACGTGCGCGTCGACCTGGCCAGTCCCGAGGACATATCGCTGGATACGGATAGCTCGCGTGCTGTTTTTAACAACGCATATGGCACCACAGTCTAACAGGCTTACACTGGTTTGGGCACACAATAGTATATATACAAATATATATATTTACCTTTATATACAGACTAGAGATACAATTACGATTATGTATAAACGCGTGGGCTTCTTAGCTGCATTTCTTCTAAAAAAAAAATAACACTTTAAAATTATTCGCATTATCCAGTTATGCTTTTGTATATCGCACGCATAACAAATAACATTTCGCGAATTAATAGCTTTATTTAAATTTGAATTATAACAAAGGCTATGAAAGGCAGAATATGTCTGATTGCTGTCGCTCAGCAGCTAAAGCAGCCATGCTAGTTAAAGTGTAATATGAACAAATCTATCCATATACATATATCTATATTTACATATATATATATGATATATACACATAAATGAGTTGTTAGTATACAAACTTATACATGCATATATACATATACATATACATTTACATACATATATACAATGGATTCACAGAACAATCTAAAAAGCAAACCAACTTAATTCTAGTCGCAAGCAAGTTTTATGCAGCAATTTAACTCAAATTTTTCATATGCAACTAATTAATTAAGAATACTAAAAGCAAACGCCTCAACACGTATGACTTCGATGACGATTTTAGACCAGTACTAGTTTTTTTAATTTTTGTTTTCATTCGAACAATAACAAATTAACTCACAACACACTGTGGTCCATAAGTAAATTCCATCGGCTTTTATGTTTAAAGCTTCATTTAGCATTTTTTAGAATGCATTTATATTGTAGCAACTAAATATTTTGTATCTCGATAGATTTTCAGTTAAAATACTATAATTTTTTTTGCAACGTCAAATTGTTCTTTAGTGTCACCTTTTGGTCAATTTATTAAAGATAGTTTTTCCGAATATTTTCAAGTATCAGATCAGTCTAACATTTTAAATATCAGTTAATGGTTTCAGAGATAACTTTTTGTAAAACATGAGTAATGAACGACTTTACAATATAAAGCAATGTATAAACATTAGACACAAGCCTTAGTGAAGGTAGCTATCGTCTACGAAGACACAATCTAATGTCATTCAAAGAAAGATATATGTATACCAACTCTTTGTAGGGTAGATAGGTATTCTAACAGCTGGATCGTGTTTCCAGTGCACAACATTTGTTGACAACGGTGGAACGTTTTCCACATGTGTGTATATATTTTTAATAAATACATATGTCAACATGAACAAGTGTAACAATTGCAACTGAATAAATATATATCAGATGAGAAACTCAAGCAGAGTCCAGTGCCCCTTCAGGTTGATATTAATGGACTGTAGAAATAAGCGCGAGTTGTTTTCAACAAGACTAAAGTGTTCTTATTGCCTTGTACGATTGAATGTCCATTTTATCATTGAAAATTATTAGTTAGAATTTCGATCAGTCGAACCGATTAAACTACATTTTTAAGCACGTTTCGAAGCTGTTTTACGGCATTTTAACCGATGGAAAACAATTCTGGCACACACTGTGCAATGGCCATGAGATTTTCTTTGTACCTAACAAAAGATAAACTTAATTTTAATAATCAAAAATAACAATATTGTAAATGCCACGAATTGTTCTATGAGAATTTGAACAAATATTGTTAATTAATATTAATTATGGTATGTCAACTAATTTATATAAACTAATACATAGTACTCTTACTAAACGTATACTTCTAGGTATATGCCCCTTAGTTTTTACAACTACTATTTCTGCTCTCTACTCTTCCAAACACTAATACGATTTATAAACGATAGTAATAACAATTAACAAATTAACGTACAAAAGCAGCATTAAACAAAAGGCAGTAAATTGTAATTGATAAACTATTCACATTTATAAATATACCAAGCTAATACATAGCATAAATGCTAACAATAAGAAGAGTTGCAATAAATGTAATTCCACTCCTACCCCTAACGTATATCTATGCCCTCCAAGTATTTACAACCAAACTTTCTATTTTATATTTACGTTAATTGCCACACAACTTAAAGTATTAATTAAAAGTACCTTCACTTTACACAATCATAACTTCGGCAGCTTCCAATATTATGTTAAGATTGGCGAAATAATTTTGTTACATTCTTCAAATTTGTTCCACACCTATTGCAATAATGAAATTATTTGTTTGGTCATGCTTCAATTAAAGCCTATCCTGATAAATAATTTATACAAATGCTATTTTCAGTAGAAGCAAAAAATTGAACAAACGAACCCTAATTATGTTTTTAAGCTAGAGTAAATCGAATGAAATCTTTACATACATGCATACAAACATACCCGACATACATAAATATCTAGTTATTAAACTTTAAACATACTGATTAAAGCAAGAACGATAATCTCAAGAGCGCATTGAACAATTTTATGAAAATGAACCGTAGTATAATTAATATGTAATAAAAAATGTTGGATAAAAAATAAAAATTGCATGTGTTTTTACTGTACAGACTCTTACATTTCGAGGATACCCAACTGTATAAATAAGTTTTTTATTTTATAGATTTCTCTGTTGAGCTTTTAAATAGTTCAACCAAATATAATGGGTTTTTCAAATAATTTGTTACTCTCCTTTCTCTATTTGGGATTGTTCTTCAACTTTAACCCTGGCAACGGATTATGTTGCCACGCTATGATAAATTCTCATCTGGCCTGGGAAAACTACAAGACGTCTAATTGTAGAAATCATTTTTCTGGAAATGTTACAAAATTGGAAATAGTACATAGACGAGATTTGTATCTATCGCATAGATGGTTTTACAACTTATTTTAATCAATATATTATTTTTATATAATTCTACACTTTATTTTTGATATTCTTCATTTAAAGTAGCTTAATTTTAGAATAGATTCACTTAGGATTTTAATTAAATGTTAGCTTATAAAAAATTAACCAACAAAACTCGTACCGTGTACAAGGTAAACAATTCGAATAGATGAAAACAAGCGAACAAATCACAATAATTAGTTAGTTTTGGTTGCAAATGTAACATGATTAAAAAAAATGCCAATATTATACATACAATTACTCTATAAAAATTAATAATCAGCTAGATAAGTAACAGAAAACAGCGTAAATTAACATTTAAGTAATTATTCCAATTCGCTTTGCGATAAATTGTAATTGATAAAGTATGTAGGTATAAAAATGTATATAGAGATATATAGTTGGGTGTATATAGTAGATGGGGAAACAACTTGTCTAAATTGTGAAAATGCGGATCAAGAAATCCACTAAACAACATTTCAACAGCCCTAAGTTTTCTGAGTGAGTTCAGTTTACAATATATATATATATGTATATAGATTTGTTTCTACGAATGTCCTTATGTGGTAAAGTATTTAGTTGTTGTTGGTTTCGTTTGGAAATGGTCGAGTCTTAACTTCTTCTGTGCTGAGCAAATCTCTTTTAGAAAATCGAATCCAATACAACGTTAAGGCATATTCAAATTGAATAATTGATCATGTCTAGGATAAAAATAAGTGGAGTTGTAAGTGGAGCAGTAAAACGTCTCCTTTCGAGTAGAAAATATAAGTAGAAACCCAACGGAAATATTTTGATATATATTGATTCTACTGAGATTTTAACAAGTTACTGTGGAATTTGTGGCAATACTTTAACGTTTACATCTATCTAGTGCAAGATCTACACAAGGGAATGTCTAAAATTCAATTGCTTTTAGTTGGCCTCGACCCGTTGGCCCAATCTTTGCTTCACTGAAACGGCAACAGGCAATTGGCTGTCGTGTTGAGCAGTCCCAGGCGCTGCTTCTGTTTGCGTTGCTCCGTCATGTGATCTTTGAGCTCGTGCAGCTGTGTCGACAGATTCTTGATGAGCAGCTGCGTCTCCAGTAGCTGCGCCTGCATGCTACGCAGCTCGATCTGCTCGCCATCGGCGTCCACAGCGGCTAGCGACATGGCGCGCAGTCTTGGGAACCATTCCAATATGCCCGCCTTAACCATGGCATACACATAACTCTCGGGGCCCGTGAACTCCGTGGGATCCTTGACCTTGACCAACACTATGAAGTATAAATAGTGCCACATATTGTGCTCGCTCTTGATGTGCTCCTCGAAGCTGACCGTCTTGTTGTCGAAAGCCGAACGGTTGAGCGAGCAAATGAAGCACGTCGTCTTGAGTATAGCCTCTTTCTGTTGCTTCTCCGAACGCAGGTCCGCAAACGTGTCGATGATGACGCCAAAAATTAAATTTAACACGATAATAATCACAATGAAGAAGAACAGCAGATCGTAGATGACGCGCGCCACAAAAAGACCCTCCTGCCGGGCAAACAAATCTTGAATGAGATCATTTCGATTGCAACTGAAACTTGCCAGCTTACCTTGCTCGAAGGTGCTCTCAGAATGTCCCCAATGCCGCCGCCATTGCGCAAGCCCTGATTCAGTGTTGTCACAATGCACATGACCAGCGAGTCACAGGAACGCTCCTTGGCTTCACCACTGCCGGCGGCAGCTGCAGCCACCTGCTGCTTGGTGCCGCCATTGCAGACGCCCAGTTCGTCGGGCATGGCGCAGGACTCCTCGGGCGATGCTGGTACCGAGAGGGTCAAGGGACCGATAGTCGAGGCAGCCTCCTGCTCTTCAAAGTCCACCGGGACGAGAAAATCGTCTTTGAAGAACATGTAGCCAATGATGGAGAAGAGATAGACCAGAATCAATGCCAGCACGGCGGTCAAAACAATTGAGCGTCCGTTTCGGGTAACCGAGCGAATCACGTTGACCAGCGTCTCCTCCCGGTAGACCACATCGAAGAGCTACAAGATGCACCGCATTAGATAGAGATAAAAATGGCAGGTGATCACGCGCAACTTACCAGCAGGGAGTAGAAGAACGGATGGAAAATGAGTCCACAAAAGCAAAAGGCTATATAAATGCAATGGTAGAGCAGCTGAAAGTCGGTGATGATCTTGAGGAAATGCTTTTCCAGCGTGCCCTTGTTGCCCATGATGCTCACGATATGAACGCTCTTCAGAGTCACCTGCACGGACATATTGTAATGTTATTTGTGTAGTTATTAGCTGAACAAGTACTTACCGTAACGACGCCCAGCAAACACAGTGTCGACTCCGGGCCAAGCATAAATATAAAACGAAGAATTACGGAGCCAATGAATGTGCGTATGCCCGATTCGCGAGGTAGCGTAATTACTATTACCAGCGAGAATATCAGAATGGCCCAGAAGAGCAGCGAAATGTGCGAGCTGAGCTCTAAAAATACAAGAGAAAAAAGTTCACATTTGTGCCCAAAAAAGTATGCTATAAATATTTTAACCGAATAACATTAATATAACATTCACTGTTAAATGTAAATGTTCGTTTACATCGTTGCTGTTAGCTGTTTTGTGGCCCAAAAAGTCATAACATAAAGTTCACTGTTGAACTTAATGTTAATTTACTAACAGCTGTTAGCTACTCTGTTTATACATTTTTGTCATCTACGCTTTCATACCTGGCACAGTATTATCAAAGGGATAGAAGAAAGCCACAATCATATTGATCACAACAACGCAGTTGAAGAGTATATTGCTCCACAGGGACATGTAGCTGCTAATCCAGAAGAGCAGCGGCTGACCTGTAAAGGATGTAAAGTTTGGCTTCAAAAAATAACACAATATGCATCACACTTACTTCGCAGTTTCTTTTGCCATTTCATCTCATTGAACATCTCCTCGGCTTTGTCAAAGAAATCCGCCACTTTGGAGCCCTGATCATCGCGTTCCGCCGTGTTCAGTATTTTGATTTTCGTATCCGTTGTTAAGTACTCGCAAATTTCAGGTATGGGAAAAACAATTTGTTCCAGTGTGCGATCATTGCGAACAATCTGCGAATGCAGGAAGGACATTCGGAATAAGAACAAATCGGAATAATATGACATATTGTGGTAAGTTGACAACTATTATGTTATCTAATTAACATTCTTATATTATGTAAAGCTGCTAGGGAACGCTTTTATTAGCATTTGTTCTGACTGTACCTCAATTTGGGCCGTGTGCGTTGCGTAGTACATGAGTGCCTGACTTGTTTTGGCATCGAAACTGGCCGATTGAGGATCCTCCGACGCTTTTAGTAAGGCGGCCAGTTCCTTGTTGTGCTGCGCCAGCTGGTGGCAGAGTATGTAGATGTTGTGTCCGACCTCGCGTGGGCTAACCGTTGCGTCATCATCATCTGTTGCGGCACTCGGCTCGTCCGCGTCGTCCTGCTCGTCGATGAGCTCCTCCTGGTGATAGGCCTTGCAGGCGACTTCGACCAGCTGCTTGGGATTCATGTTGTAGAGTATGCGCTCCGCATTCTCGCTATCGCCGCGACTCTCCATGATGGCCAGCAACAGCTTGGAGGCATTATTCTTTAGCTCCAGCACCAGATCCATGCGGTTCTCGCCCAGCGGATTTATGTTGTTCAATATCAAGGCGGTAATGATGTCCAGACCGTTCGACTCGTGGGTGGCAATACAGTTCTGGTTCTCATGGCACGGCCCCTGGCAGTACTCGGTGAGCGTCTCCAGCGTCTGGTTGATCAGCGCCACGTTGTGCTCATTGATGTAGAGACCGAGCAGGCCCAGGCCGCCCGTGGTAGAGCCGCAGATGCAGTCGAGAAACATGAGCGTCTCGGAGACGAGATTGTTGTTGGTCTTGTTGTTCTGATTGCGCAGCAGATTCTGCAGATCGGGATTGTGATTCTCGCAGAGTAGCTGCAGGAAACGCAGAATAGGCTGCATGACGAGCACCTTGTTGGACAGCTGATTGCGCTGCTCCTTGCTGTCGCGATGCTTCTCCAGCTTCTCGGCCAGTATATCCTCTAAGGGGCTGTTCACACTGATCGCCGAGCTCTCCTCGCCGGAGTGTATGTTCCGCGCATTGCCATAGGCACGCGCTGTGGCCAGGCCGGCATTGTGCAGCTCCCGCTTCAGTTCATCCGTGATGACGACGCCGTTGCTCTTGAGGCCGTGCTTGCGCGAGATCTTGTCCAGCTCCAGATTGCCGTCCTGCTTATGCTCGTGCGCCTTGGCCGCAATGTCTGTGGTGTTGACGGACACCGTCGATTTAATCTCCTGCTGGGCATCCTTCATCTTCTCGAAGAAGACCTTGAAGAACGCCTGGTTCAGATCGTCGCTGAGAAACTTCTGGAACATGCCCTTCTGTATGATCGGATTGCCGCCCTCGAGCAGCGCTATGCCCAGCTCAACGGCTTCGACAAAGATGTTGGGCGAATGCACCGATTTGATGACCAGCTCCACGACCAAATCCGAGGCGCCCTCGCGGTCCAGATGATTCTGCATCTCGTGCAGCGTTTTGCCAGCACGTGCAAGATACTTGGCGCCAGGTCCATGGGTGACCAAATGCAGCTGCTTGGCTGAGTCGGAGGTCGCCGCCGCCGCAGCCACAGCTGCCGCAGCAGCCATGGCGGCCGGCAGATGTGGATGCTCGTCCTCCAGTTTGGGCGCACTCTTGCACTGGAAGTAGCGCAGCAGGAGCGTCTCGCGCAGCGCATCGCCCTTTTCGCCATAGTTGACATCAATGGCCATCATTTCGCGCAGGGTGCGCAGCACCTTGACGCACATGCGCTCCTCCTTCTCCTCCAGCAGCTTCTCCGTGTGCTTGATCAGCTTGCGAATGAAGCCTCCGCTTTCGCAGCGCTTGCGCGCCTCGGTGCCGGCTGGGAACAGCAGCTCGGAGCGATAGAGTATATCGACCAGCAGTGAGAGCTCCGCTTCGACGACCGGCTTCAGTTGATCCTCCAGCAACGAGACAATGTCCTGCAGTCCTTCAATGATGGAGCGATCCCAGCGCATTAGCTGGGCCGACTGTTGGGTCTCGTACTTGGGCTGCTTGGAGGCCAGCAGCCACTTGGCGGTCTGGCGCGTCAGCATCGCCGTCTTGCTGGACATGTTGGCCACCTGCTGCTCCAGCTCCACCGGCAGCACAATGCTGCGCATCTTGGCCGATTCGGTCAGCGTACGAATGCAGGTCTCCACATTGAAGCGATCCGCTAGCGGCAGCCACTTGCATTGGGTGAGCCGGTACGTGGCCTGCAGCAGCTGCACGAAAATTAGCTGGCGCGACTGGACTATGGTGCTCTGGTCGGAGAAGGGGCTCGAGAAGAAGCTGCCCAGCAAATTGGTTACGCCATTTAAGACATATGCCAGCAGGGTCTTGTTGGCGGCGGCTGTGCTGTTCGAAACCAAGAGATTGAGGTCGACCAGGAAGCTCTTCTCGAAAAGGCTCCACATGTGGCCGGAGGCGTAGATCTCCTTCATTTCCACCTCGGTGTCGATGTAGCAATGATTGAGAAAGTCCACATACGCTTCCTTTACCTCGGGCATGCACAGCGGATGGCAAATGATGGTCACAATATCGTCCAGCGACAGCAGATTGTTGCACTTGATCTCCGTGTAGACGTTCTTGCCCATGGTGCAGCAGGCGAGCAGCTTCACCAGCTCCACATGGTACTTTAGCGGGCTGTCGTCGCTGAGCGGCTGGCGGCGCTGCTGCTGCTGCTGCATCATCTGGACAAAGTGCTGAAACGAGGTCTTGTCGTTGTAGAAGACCAGCACATCCTCGCCGGCATTGATGAGCTCCTGCATCACCATGTCCTGGCACTTGCGTATGAACTGATTCTCCGCCTTGACGATCGTCTGCAGGAACTGCAAGTAGGCCACATGCCGGCCATGGATCTCGATGCAGTGCACAAAGTGTTGGACCACCTTGTCGGTCACCTCGTTGCACAGCGCCAAATTGTCCTTGAAGATGGCGCAGACTGTCTTCGCCTCGAGTATCTGAAAAAGCGCACACATTTAATTGCCCGTCCAGTTGAGCGGAACTCGTCGGAACTGGTACTCACGCCTGGATTGAGGAACAAGTCGAGATGATTGTGCAGCAGTACTTGATTCTGTTGATTGCCCAGGCAAAAGTTTTGCAGAAACTCGTGGGCCAGACACATGAGCTCCTTCATCAGCACGTCGTCCTTCTCGTCATAGGGATTCTGCAGCAGATCGAGCACAACCGTGTGCACGCCCACATTGCGCAGCAGGCGCTGTTCGTGTTTGCGTGGCCTGACAATGGGACCTGAAAGGGAATAGGCTCAAGCATTAGCAGGATCAGGGATCAGTTGATTGAGGATTACCCACCGGCCGTCACACAGAACTTGTTCATGCGTATGAGTATCTCCTTGACCTTCTGATACTCGCCGCGCTGCTCCGGCGACAGCGTGGCATCATATTCCAGACTATCCGCACCGCCGGCGACTTCGCTGACACCCAGCTCGTCCGTCGCCTTGGCCTTGTACACCCACAGCTCCGACTTCTCCACACTCTGCCGCAATATGTCCAGGTCGGATTTGATCTGCTTGTAGGACTCCACATCGCTGTCGGAGACGAGCAGTTGCACCTGCAAAGTGAAAAGCCAAAGCGTAGCAGCTCAGACATTAGCCAATCCTCGAGAGTCATATCATAAATGTTCATACATACAAAATCAAAAGATCTTTCATTACGGTATGCGGAATACGTCCACTTTAGTGGCAGTTGTGTGTGTGTTAGCAGTGCGTGAGGAGTGTTAGTTGTTAGTCACAAGAGAGTATTTGATGAGAGATGCGGTTGATTATACGGATTAGTGGCACGAGACTCGACATCGAGTGCGTGTTCGAGTTCGAGTTCGAGAGCGTTGCATGCAAACCCAAGAGAGATGAAGAATAGAATTTACAAATTAGAAAGCAACAACAAAGCAATCAGCCAAGCTGCCAATCGGTGTACCGATCCATTCAGATATCGTCTAGCATGCCAAAATATATATAAATGTGCACTAATCAAATATGTATATCAAATTATTGCTAAAAAAAGAATTTCCCCAATCAAATACTATGTAAAGATACAAATAACCTACTTCAATAAAAGAAGCTAGAGTGAAAGAGTATATGCGGCACACCGAAGATTGAATACCCTTTGGCTTAGAATAAAGCGCCTAATTGTTGAGATTTGTGCAGATAATTTGGTCAACTCGTTTTCGCCCGATTCTTTATATTGAGCTGTAATATATAGTAGTCCTATCCGATTGTTCCTTTGGCATCTATATGATATGGAAGCTCGATGTTGATAAGAGGCACAGTAAAAGAAATGCCGAGTCTGATTAGGATCAGTTCAACTCTCTTATGGAGCTATAGCTGGCTCGTGATCCTTCAAAAGAGGTGCTTCTCTCCTATATACATAGGTTGGTTCTGCCCAGCATTCAAAGTTTGTTAGATCGAATTGACGGACAGATGGAGGACAGAGTCAACAATCAATCAATCTTTCATACATTAGCTAGCAAATTACTCAAGTTAAAGAAATCATTTAAATTATTAAGAGCTAAGCACATGCAGACAAATCGTCTAGTTTAACTAACACTTGATTTGAATAAACTTAAAAGTTACCTTAATAAGTGCATTAATTCGGCATACGCTGAGGGAATCAGGTCGGACTTACCTGTCTGAAGGCCTGCAACACCTCCTGGCGCTGGCTAAAGTGACGGAAGAGCAGATGCAGTGCACCCGAGACGAGCGGCGCATAGTCGTGCATGATGAGGTGCAGCAGCACGCGCAGAAAAGTGCGTCCGCCTTGGCCATCCAAATCCAAGTTGGCCGCATCGCTGCGCTCGCAGTCAAAGATGCCCTCGGCCTGCACGCCAATCGATTCCAGATCGATATTCTTTTGGCGTGCCGCCGCCGCCGTGGCAGCCGCGGCTGCTGCAGCCATGGCAGCCTCCGCAGCGGCTATCTGCTCCGAGTCCGTGGTGCCTGCAGTGGCGGGCGGAGTCTGTTCCTCGTTGGGGCCGGTTTGCGTCTGGGCAAGCACCTCGGACTCGTCGAACTCGCGCTTGAAAATGGAGAGCAAACAGCTGATTCTGTAGTCCAGGCGCACATCCAGGATGAACTGCAGTATCTCAATGATCTTCAGCTTGGTGTCCATGACCAGCGGGTATTCCTTCATCAGCTGCGACACAGACTTGCGCTGCTGCAGCGCTATGGCGGGCGCCGCAATCGCCTGGCCCACTGAGCCCAGCGCCAGAGAGGTCATCACCGTGCTCATGTCCCCAATGGAGCGCAGCACGCCGCCCTCGGCTGTGGAATGGACACAAATGTTAGATTAGCTTAAATGTCGGGTGATTAATTAGAAGCTCACCCTCGTTGCTCGTCTCCTCTTCGACAGCTTGTCAGGGGCAGATCAGAGAGAACTTACTCAACTAACTTAGGCTAAGTGAATCTGCTTTGTTGGTACTCACATTCAATATCCGCGTTGACATATCCGCCGCCACTTGAGGTCTCCGACACGCAGTCCAGAATGGATAACAGCGTCTTGGTCAGGCGCAGCAGATCGCTGAAGCTATAGAAACCAAAGTATATCAAGTCCCGGGCCAGCTTGACCACCTGAAAGAGGCAAAGAGTTGGGTAGCATGGGAAATAGCTTCCTCTTAGTTCTGGCACGCACCTCAAAGGTCAGCTTGTTCTGCTCCTGATCCGTGAACAGCCACACCTTGGTGGCCACATTGCACAGATAGTTCTCCACGAATGCGATGGTCGTATTGAACTTGGCACGACAGGCCTGTTTGTTCTGATCCGGCTGCAGATTCTTGCCATCGTAGCTGCGGAAGAGGCGCTGACATTAGCTAAAATTCTCTGAAGGCATCTAAATCCAAATACTCACTCCATAATGGACATCTTGGAGGGTATCTCGCTCCATAGTCGCGCGTATTTCACAGGCGTCACTGGCTCCTGGGGGTCACGATCGACATGCATGTGCAGCATCAGGCGACAAAAGGATGCACGCAGCTCATAGGGCATTGTCTCATCGGACATGCATCTGTGGGATGGATTAGACATTGAGCAAAAGGAATTGGCCAATAATATAATTGGTTAACCCACTTTAGTATCAGATCAATATCCAGTTGGGGCGAGAGCCTGTTCAGGGCCAGGTACTGCCGGTTCAGGCACATGTTCGAGAACAGATTCAGCTGATGGCGATAATAGTTCAATATGGCCGCTTCCTGTTCGCAGCCGTCGGCTACGCTGCTGGCCAGATCCGCCATGGAGCGCGATGACTGAAAGCAAAGAAATCGCAGAAATTAGGGATAATGAGAAATGCAGGCCTGCAGCACTTACCGGTTGGCCCTTCCACTGCAAATGTATTTCATACTTCTCGGCCTCACCGTTGAGGCTGGCACTGTCCCAGGTGCTCGTGGTGGAGTTGGACTGCAGATCGGAGCGATCCTCGTCATCGCCGGCCACCTCGGTGAGCGTGGCGAGGCAGACATCCTCGGAGGCGCCTTTGTAGCAGCGCACGGCAGCATCGCCGCGGAGCGCCTTGATTTGTGTATCGATCAGAATGTCGACGTTCTTGTCGCTGAGCACGCTCTTGCAGATCAGCTCTTGGGTGACGGCAATGGCCTTGCGATTCGAGACGCACAGATCGGACAGATAATCGAGGAAGCGCGAGTCCCAGTTGTGCATGTTCTTGCGCACGAGCCCCACAAAGGTCTCGATCTCGGCGGCCGTGATGTGCTTCTCCAGCAGCTTGCGATTGTTGTGCAGCAGCGCGGTGATTGTATCCTCGGCCAGGATGTCATAGCCGATCTGTTTCTGCATCAGGCCAAAGTGTTTGGCTATGTACTCCTGGTTCTTGCGGTAATCCTGCTGCGAGAGCCGCAATATCCGATAGCACAGCCTGAAGATGTTCTTGTAGGGCGCATTCTTGGGATCGCTGAGCTCGTCCAACCGCAGGAACGGCCCATCGCCCGCACTGTGCTCCTGGAAGGGACCGTGCAAGATCTTGAACAGCTGCTTGAGTATGTACTGCTCGCGCAGCAGCTTCTGCCGATCGCGTATGGGATTCTTGATGGTAAACTCCAGCGCCTTGGTCTTGTTCTGCTCGTTCTCCATGCCGGCTATGAAGTACACAATGTCCTGCAGCAGCGAGATGAGAGCGCGCCGCTCATTGATCGAAATGCTGCCATTGTCCAGCTTGCTGGTCACCATGGCCAGCACTTTGCACGCATCGTTGGCAAAGTCCAGATCGCGCACCTCCACCGGCGACACGGGTATCAGGGCAAAGGCCTCCTTGTCCTCTTTGATGGGCGAGCAGCAGACCTTGGACATGACCGGCTTATCGTCGTCCACATCGATGGGTATCGATGTCGCATGCACCCACGTGTTCGAGCAAATGTGCTGCAGTCGCACATAGCTCGACTGCGGCACCAGGCTATCCGGCCGGGCCATTGTCGTCGCATCCAGCACAAACACAGAGGCTATGTCGGCCGAATAGGGCACGGAGACCAAACGATATAGCTTGCCTTTCGGTTTCTCTGTGCAAATGCAAATTGAAGTTGTTGAAGGTAGATCTGACACAGGTAAAATTAGAAGAAATTCCTTTGGTACCTACCATTCAGGGTGGAGTTCATTGTAGAGCTAAGTCCCGAGTCTTTGCTACAGTCGCCCAGCAAGGATTCATGAGCGTTGGCAGCAACTGTTCCGGCCGCCACATCAGATTCGGACTCGGCAGCCAAATAGTGACCCGTCGCCAGATGCTTGAAACGATACAGAGAATTCCAGTCGCCGGCGCCACCTCGACACGAGTCGTGCTGCACCACCTCGATCTCCCAGAGCGCCTTGCTGCTGGTCGCCGCTGTGGCACTGGTGCGGCCCGTGGTGCGCAGAAAGACATGGTACTGTTTCTTGTACTCGTCCATGGTAAGAAACTTTTCCTGCTCGGCGTGAAAGAGACGCACTACGTCGCCGCCCTTGAGTATGTGCTCCTGGTTCTCCTTGTGCTCCATGAACAGTGAGATTTTCCACGAGGTGGACGAATTGAGTACGTTGACCTCCTTGCAGCCGGGATTGTCGGGCAGCTCATAGTTGGCGGCCACGTGCAGATTCTGCTGATCGGCATTCACCGGACTGAGAATCACCTTGTCGCCCACCACGACGTAGTCGCCAATGGAGCGCAGCTTATAGAACGGCTTTATGTAAAACCAAGAGCCCTCATTGCCATTCGCATCCAAATAGACACGCATCGCATTCTTCTCCAGCAGCGAGGGCAGACGCTTGTTAACCGTCAGATACTTGTTCGACTTCAAGTGGAGCAGCTGCACCACAGCCCGGCCGTACTGTATGAAGGTGCCCAGCAGCTTCTTGTTCTCCGTTTCGTTTTGCTTCTTCTCAATTTCGGCGGCATGCTACCAAGTGGGCACATACTGTGAAGGCGTTCTTTCATATTTAACTATAACTGAATGGAGCTTACGTGCAAACGCTTCAGCAGATTGGGATCTGTGTTGGAGCTGGCCGACTGCTTGGCTGCCTTCCAGAACTGCTTCTGCGCAGAATACCGATTCATGGGGCATATTTTGATGAGGCAATCTGCAAGGCGAGTGCATTGAGTGGCATTAGCTTGAGTGAGTCGAGTCATTAAGTACTTACCTCTAAACTTTTTGGGCGGACAACTCAAATCTCCAGCCTCGGGGCACACAACGGTTCGATCATCCACCAGACTTGAAAATAAATAAATGTCATGAGCTTTTCCGATTGCAATCAATCAATATTAAAACATGATATGGCATTAGGCATGCTCTTTAGCTAATTAACCTACTGGGAGGGACTCAAGTTCTGATGGTATTCGAATTACTTATCAATTGGATTCTACCTATAATTCTATATAGAATTAATGGATCTCAACTGATAGTTCCTTAATAACTTATGGACTAAGGTCTAAATGTAGATCATTTCCAAGCCCATAAAGTATATGTATATATTCCTCAGCAGCATCAATAGTCGAGTCGATCTAGTCCGTATGTACGAACACATGGATCGCAGAGCCTATATAGAGACTTGACTTGACTCGCAATACGCGTCTGTTTCCGACGATCGATAACTTGCCGCGTTTTCAAGTAATCGATAAAGATCAAAATCGAAATCCTATTTTGTGAGCCAAGCTGGTAAGTTCTAAGAAGCTTCTAGCTGCTAGAATAGTATATATATATCAAGTATCTTTCATTTTATAGCTATCGCCACCTTTCCGCTATCATCTGGCTATAAATCAAGAAAATACATCTATTTAAGCCACAATTCTTTTTCTTACTTCCTTCTTGCTGTTTCTAATTGTTTTTGGCAAATAATTGATGTTCTGGATTTAATGTAATTTTGTAATTTGCTTTGCAGGAAGATTATTTGAATCGAATTCCCTTTTAAAGATGTTGCTAGTTCTAATATGCTCTAATAAGTAAACCCCCAATAGACGTAGGGCTTCCATGGACACCTAAGCAAGAGATTGAGTCGCATTGCCATGCAACAGTTGGCTGGCTGTACTCAAACATCATTCACTGAAATGCCATTCAACAGCGAGTACTTCTGGTCATAACATATATGAGTGCGAGTGCGAGTGCGACGAGTGTCCTACAAGCATGTGACAAATGGTACTCACCCGAGTGTGCTCAAGAAACCGCAAACGCTGCCCTCCGCATAGAGTGAAACAATGTCGCCCAAGTGGAGGAAGCTTGCCGAGCCAATTATATTGTCGCCCATGTCGGAGGATGTGGGCCGCAACAGCAGATTCTAGATTGTTGTGTATGGTGTGCAGATTGTCGATGGGTGGTCTCCGCCCGCTCCCGCCGGCTCCCGACTCTGCGTTTAATTGCCTTTGTTTTGTTTGTAGCCGTTTATGCGAGTTAATTGCAAAGATTTGTCGCTGTCCTCGTTGCCGCTGTATGCTATATGCTGTATCCTGTGTGTGAATAAAACAAATATATATTTATACTTATTATATATTTGCGAGCATTATAGTTGTAAGCAATCACATGGGCGCTGTTTACTCTAATTACATGACATAACCCAGTTATAATTAGTTATCGAATTACTTTTATCAGCAGGTTTACTGCCATTGACCCACAGTGGTATCGGGGCTATCTTAACAGTTTTCGGGCGTTACGCCATTTGGGGCGTGTCGCCAGATAATTTATTCATAAATCATATGCCCACAACTTTCTCATTTCTCCAAATATGCGCACACATGTCGCTTCACAGCGGGCATTTAATTTTGTGAGGCTTTGTGTTCCTTTTAGTTTAGTTTATAAAAACTTAAATATAAAAGCTCTATTTGAAATATCATTTTGTATATCATAAGCAGATTAAGTTTATCTCCAAGTTGTACTTGTGATATTTAGATAATATTTCTAATATATTATATTATATTATTTCTATATGTATATCTATGTATACAAAAGGAAAACTCTTTATACACAAAAATTAATTAATTAATTTTTCAATATTAAGAATTCTAGTTATATTCCTTGAGTTTAAGTTAGGATATTTTCTTTAGCTGGCAGCGCATAGCCCAAGCTCATTCTGCCTCTGTTAGAAAACGCTGCAGGGTATCTTCGTGTCGGGCACTCCCAAATGTTTCTACCTGTTACATATATTAGGAAAAAAAACATATCGCTTTTTTCTTTCCGTTTCATATGTGCACAGGCTAAATTGAAAACAATATTATCTATGTGTATCTATACAATTAAAAGCTAAGCAAAAATTAAATATTATTTAATTTTGTTTTGGACTCTTCAGTCCATTGGACAACGTGTCGTATACCTAATATTTCTTGTATAGTGAGAGCTTCAATTTACTAATATAATGTAATAAAATAATTTTCAAAATAAGTTAATTATGTTTGTATTATTTAAAAATGAATTAGCTAGCTTTTTTCCCGAAAAAACAGTTTTCACTAAATTTCAAAGTAGGGACAAATTTTACATACAAACTTTTGACTTTAAATTATTTTAACTTTTCTGCGCATTGACTTTTGAAACCTTGGGACAACGGTTCGTATGCTTAATATTAAATATGCTCTGCTTTTGTGATGGGAAATGTTTTAGGCCAGAACTTGTTGTTTTCACAATGTAAGTTTGTCGTTCGCTTTAACGATTCATTTACTCAGTACGATTTTTTTTTGATGATTTGTGTCTATTGTCCATAGATAATGGCTTGATACGAACTAAAAGCTGAGCGAGACAAAGTGCCATAAAAAAACAAAAAAATGCCATAAAATTGTAAGCACAACGAGCGAGAGAGAAACAAATGTGATGGGTTTTATTGTTTTCAAGTTTTAATGTGGCAGCATGCCACATTGATTTTTACAAAGTCACAAATTGTTGTCTCTTGCTTAACGTACCGGAATCTTAGTAGAGTTAAAGGGCTTGATGTTTGTAGAAGTTCGCTAGCATAAATTGTACGTAAGTTGAGCGAGATATAAATAAGCTGAAAGTATCTCAAAGTCACTTTGCTACTTACAAGATACAAGCAGCAAGATAAACAAATAATCAATAAAATACATGCAATTTCCTGATTCCATGCGCTGAGTTATTAACTATTAAACATGTGATTATTTTGGTTCGGCTCGGTCAACGGCACTCAGCGATTTTTATTATAGCCCCAGACCATAATCTTGAGCAATGCTCGGCATACTCGATAGCGATGCCTGTGTGTGTTCCTCTTGTTTATCAACCGGCCGCAGCACCGGAATATTAATTAGTTGCAAGAAATTGGACAGAAAGCGAAAAGCCAGTTGAGTATTAGTGAATGTCTATAGAGATTGGCTTGTCAGGCATAATGACAGGGGTAATTAATACAGGAACAAGGCACGTTGTCGAATTCCTGGCAGTCCTTTGCATGCCAATTGGGATTTGGGCATGCCAATTAGAATGCATATCTAGCCGGCAGCTTGGCCCATGTGCACACATTTATGTTTGTCAAACAGGAAATTAAAATTTCATAGCTGGCGCTTGATGTGGGCCAGAAATGTCATGCTGCAGCATGTGGCATGTGGCAGGATATGAAGCATGCCCGCCAGCAAAGTGTGGCTGGCAATTGTGCTCCTACGGCAAGGGCGATTTTTCAAATCAGCTGGTTCGCATCATGGGGTCCAGGGGTGCTCGTTAAGTTTTTAATGCATTCTCATAGACATGAAACGTGCTCTTTAATTTGTTAACACACAATGGAATTTATGTGGAATTTATTTAGAATGGCATTAAATTAATTAACAAGCAATTCAATCAAATTATGCGCTCAATCACAACAATCAAACAGCTTCCCACGCATATGGATAGGCCGAGTTATGGTACACACATCTATTATGTGTGTGTGTGTGTGTGTGTGTGTGTGTGTATTGGAAGCAACGATGTATACACATGCCTGTGAGGCGGCGGCAGTTTAGATATTTGCCTATTTCTCTTCTTTTTTTTTGCTGCTGACGGATGCTGGCAAAGCCTCCGCATACCAACACGCACACACACACACACACACACGAACACGGACAGCTCACTTTTCTGTTTGCCAGGTGTACATTTTCATGCTCGAGGGAAAACCACTTACAATTATCTTCACAAATTGTTGTTTTTTTTTTTTTTTCTTTGAATATAAACAAAACGCAGCACAACAAATTTATGCATATACAATATATATATATATATATATGTTTCTTTTGCACTATAGATTTTTAGTTGAAGTCGTTAATAAATAATTGATGATTTTATTGGGCATTTAAATTTTCTTTCTCCTTTTCGGATGCCCGCGCGACCGCAAATAACAAATGCTACAAAGAACCTCAACGACGGCGACGGCGACCCACAAGAGGCCAGCGCTCAATTGAAAATGCTGCAAAAGCTTATGCGTCGAGTTGCGGCCAAAAAGCTCAGGCGAGCTGCGAAAGCTTTTTAAGCAATATAAGGCAGTGTGCCGTGCTGTGTCGTGGGCGTAGCTTTTTGAGTGCGTTTTTTTTTCTTCTTTATCCTCTTCTCTTTTTTTTCGTTAGCAGCTGCTGCCGTTGTTGTCGTTGTTGGCTCAAACATATTGCACACACAACTTTTGCTTTCATTCATGTTTGCTTGCTGCCGCTGCCGCTGCTCACCCCCCCCTCGCCGCTCGCACGCTTTACGCATCAGCGCGGCGAATTAGCTTTCACAGTTGGCCTCTCGCCTGATGCATTCGCTTGAGCGCCGCTGATGGGGCGTGTGCAAATTTGATTTGATTTCAACAAAGACGACGACGAAGATGACTAAGCATGTTTAATGCAAATGCAATTGCATTTTCCGGGTCAAGGTCATGATTAACTTAAGACTCAAGACTGTGTGTGTTGTGTGTGTTGTGTGTGCTGTGTGTGCTGTTGACGCTTCAGAGCCTGTTGCTGTATTCGAGTGGGTTTTCGTACATTAGCTGAATGCAAAGATTGACAAACGACTTGACAATGGATTGGGCTCAAGGAGTACTTGAAGGTCTGGAATAGTTCACTTAAGCGCTCGCCTTAGCAGGCAATTTTGTCAGAGAAACACATAACTCTTCTGGCTGATTTTTAGCACACAAAATACTTGCTGTGTAGTTATTAATACTAAAACTAATGCAATTATGGAATTAGTTATTAGAAGTTAAGCCGCTTTTTTAGACGCCATGATAAAGGGCTCGACATTGAGTGACCGCGCTTAACAAGCGTCGCATGACTTTCAGACAAATTCTTATCGGCCTGTCAATGCACTAATCTAATTAGACAAATTATGGCAAATGCAAATTAAAAACCAATCAATTTTCAACTAGATTAAAAACCCTCAACTAACTTCCACACACACACATGCTAACCGAAATCTCTTTGCGTTATGCGTGCGGCAAAAGCAACGTTACAAAGCACAAAAAAAAAAAAAAAAAAACGCCACAAGTGGTCGGCGCAATATGCTGGCGTTGACAGCGACTGCGACTGCGACTGCGACGCGGACGAACGCACGTGCGAACGGTACAAAACAGCTGTGCGCCGAACGAAAACAAGAACAAAGCGTAAGTCGTTAAAAACAATAGGCGAATGTTTGTTTACATGCACTGGGCGCAGGCGTAGCGCAGCTTTCGTTAAGCTTCAAAAGCTGCACGAAAAAAAGCTGCTTGGCAACGCGAAAGCTGCGCAGCACAGGCAAAAGTTTTCTCACCCAAAACGGGAACACACATTCAGTAGTAAAGCGTCGCGCCAGGCGCAAAGTTGTGACCAGCAGTCCAACAACAGCGGCAGCGACTGAGCCAAAGGCAGAGCCGTCGAGTGTTCATTGCGTAGCGACACGGTGCGTATGGGAATCGTGGTAAGCGTACAGGCCGCGACTGAACTCTGGCAGCCTCCGCTGCCGCCGTCGCAGCTGCCGTCGCAGCTGCCGTCGCCGCTGGCCATTGGTTATGCATGTGAAATAAAATGATAGAAATGTGAAAAGCTTGTGCTTTTATAAACTTGTAATGAAACACGACAGCAGCACGAAAACTGAAACAAAAGAAATTAAAATCTATTTTGTTCAAGACAAAAATTTACAGTGAAAGTTGAGGCAGCACAGCCCCAAAAACTCTCGACCAACAAGGATAAAAGTTCTATGTGCCTGTGCGTGTGCGACTGTGCGTCTCTGTGTGTGTGTGTGTTAGCGTGCGTGCGTGCGTGTGTGTGGGTGTGTGTGTGCGCGACAGCAAAAGGAATAGAGAAAGCAAAGCATCCCGTAGGAGTGGCACACATACAAAAGTGTTTGCATAACTTAAGGCGCCCGCTGCCCTGCGCGTGTATACACATACACATAAACACATAAACGTATGTCTGTGTGTGTGTGTATATAGAGAGCCAATATAATGTGATTAAAGGCAAGTCCGGAACTCTGTACAAAAAAAGGAATTGATGCCAAATATAGGACAAATGCTGCCTGATGCTAAATGTGAATCAAAAAAAATACACAAATAAAAGGCGTCGCAAATTTTCAATGATATGATTTAAAGGCGTGGCTGCTTTGTGTAACTCCGCTCAATCGCCATGGATCCGCCCAGCACGGCCTATAGCATTGTCTACTGCGCCGTTGTCAGTACATTGTTTATTATATTTGGTTACGTTATTTACATCATATACACTTTTTGCTACGGGTACGCTGAAGCAGAATTTCGCACTAGATTCTTCGCGCTCTGTATGCATTCATCCAATTTTCATCCCCAGATATAAATGATTAAGTTATTTCCTTTCCCTATAGGGGCTAATAACACCGAGGCTGATGAGAGTTTTGCGTCTGTCTGGTTCAGATATAGCTACGATTAATGCAATTTCTCTAATGATTTTACAAAGCAGAAGAACTTAAATATATGTGCGGGAATTCAAAAAATAATATCCTTTCAAAAATTTGTCCATATGTCTGTATATACTTGTAGCATATGCTAGCATAAAACTTTAACAACAACATAAACTTTTGAGAAACTTTAGAGCTATGATTAGCAAAATTAATTGTATTGATATTGAGAAAAGTTTGTTATTTAACAACAATAAATTACGTTTTTATGACAAGCATACGAAACCTTCTAGAGCCGAAACCTTTTGAGCTCCTACTTTTGAATGAATGAAGAATCTATTAAATATGCTAGAATTTTGTGCAGCAAAGAGGACTATTTCTATTGGACGTTCCCGCAATCCCTTGGCCATTTAATTATTAGACTACCAAAAAAGAAAGCAACTTGAACATTTGAATTACTACTTGGTTACATTTTGAAGCCCATAAAAAACCTAAACAACAATCAACGAGCGAAAAAATGGATTTCCACACAAACAACGAAAGTCAACAATGTTAAACGGGGCGAGTGGCAAGGACGTGTCGTCCGTATGCCAATAAACAGGTTAAAGGTTCGATCAATTCAATGGAGCGCAACGGGAACAAAACATATGTTAAGCAATTCGTGTGTGCAAAATGGGTTAGAAAATTGCACCAAAAAAAAAAATATCCTTGATAAACACGCTGAGCACAAATTTCGGAATGATTCCAAGCAGGAATCAATAGGAAAGAAAAAATCTCTTTTATTTAAAGTTGAACATAGATCTGTCGAATGGAATCATATATATATCATATATAATAATTGTTATTTAAAACAATTTAGTTGCTCTGTTTAAATTTGAAAACGCGGATTCATAGATATTGAAAAACTTTGCTGCCCGAATCGAACCTTAAAGTGAGGTCCTGGTTCAAATCTTCATAAAAAGCTCCTTAAACACGTTATGTATTATAAGATACATACACACACACACACACACACACTCACACACACACACACACACACACACACATGCTCAGTAAAGCACTCAGTGCAAACACAACGCTTTAGCAAATGGTCCTCGCTTTGCTCCTTGCCGTTGTCCTTTGCAACTTTATTGGCTTTGGCAGCTTTACAACTAAAGCCGGCGAACAATGAAAGGGTTAAAGGTTAAAGCAACAGGAGCGCAGAGAGGCGACTTTCAAAGTTTTAGGCATTGATTGAAGCTTTTGTCTGAGCGACACTTTGGGGAATTGCCCCGCTGCCTGGCAACCCCGCCAGTTCAAACCCAGTTGCCATAAAACAATTGTCGTTTATTTGCCAAAATTCAATTATATGAGTGAACCGAAATTTGTGCAGCACATCCTGTTTGTGCTCAACATGAGCACCAGGATATCCTGCCAATTTGCCAGGCCACATACCAGAGCCCAGAGCCCCTCTCAATTGCGTTTGATACTCTGGCGAATTTCGACGAAAATTCATATAAATCGAAGTTTCTTCAAATGTCAGTAAAATATATTTCCCAAATTCGAGAAATGCGTTTTCTTAGTATATAAACTAAGCGCATATTTTGTGACTAAATGTGGGCGATTAAACACGACTTAAAATAATAGCTCTGAGATACTTTTCCAAATTTGATTGAATTTTATAGAAACTACATAATATACTTCGTACTTCCAAGTTATTGAGATTAATATTGATTTTGTTAGATCATTTTTCTTTTATTTAATTTGTAGACAAATTTTTAAGAGTTTTTAAAGAAAGTTTCTATGAGTTTTTCGAAACATTCCAAATACTTTTGCTCCTGCTGAAATTCTAATGGGCTTTTCTTGAAACAAAGAAACTATTGTAGGCTCTTTTTTGTAATTTAAACATATATCTCTTCTGCCAGCCCCTCGGCTGAAAGCAAACTGTTCGCGTTTAGATACACAGCCGCACACAAAAGTTCATTTGCATGTCAGCTCGAATTACACAAAAGCCGCCGCCGACTGTTGCTGCCAGTTGCAATCGGGTTCAAAAAATGCAATCCACAAATTGGAACAACCAACAACAGAAAGCACAACAACAACAAAAATACCAATTAAAAAAAATGTAAGCAATGGCACGTTTTCACACAAAACCATATACCCATAACAAACATGCCACATAAAGAAAAGGGTATGCGGTGCCAAAGAGGGAGTCTGAACTGGCAAAGGGGATATACCTAGGAATAGCTGTGAGTCAGTGTGATCGATGGGGTCCACGCTCTGGGATGGAGTAGAAACCGCAATGTCCGCGTATCGAAAGGTTTATCAACTATTTATAATTGAATGCACAAAAGGTTGCGAAGAAATGCAGCTGTTCGGTCGGTCGGATCGGTCTGGTATATATACTATATATAGAGATCGTTTTGTTGCAATATGAAAACGTTTTTCTTTACTCCAAGAAATCGTGACCAAACTAAACAAATACAAGTACTTTTATGGTTTATCATACTTATGACAATGCTTTCTGAGGCTAACATAATCTTATATTAAGCTTGATCAATTTAACTAAAGAACATATAATAATATATATTTATTGTCTTTGATTTAACCATGTCAGCCAGCTCGTTTCTCTTTCTGTTCTTAAACGAACTTGTCTCTCAATTTTGAGTCTTTATAGAGTACTCATTCAATAGATCCGATTGAGGTCGAATGAATGAAACTGGAAACGTTGACATCTATTTCCACTCGGAAATAAGAGTTCTTATATGCTGAGTATATCAGGATAGGGCATATATCATTCCCATAAAGTAAAAAAGTAAGATAAAAAGTAGCTGCATTTAGCAAAGCGTCTTTCTGTCAATGTTTTAGTAGAGTTCACATTCAACTTTATGCTGTATCGCATTTGAAAGCGAAGCTTACTCTCTGGATGGAAGGTGATTCACAGCTCTAAATAAACTAACGACAATCCATTTACATAATCGTAATAAAAAATGTGCCCATAAACAAGTAAATTTGTGCACTTCCATAGAAATCTGCAACGTGACCAAAATATAAAAACCCTTTTAATCAAAAGTTTTTAATTTAACTGTTGTCAATAAAACAAAAGAAAGGCATCTTTAGCAAGTCGCAGATTAAATACCCTACGGCTCCTATGCGAAAGCTTTATTTTCGACCAATTTTAGTAAAATAGCTTTGATTTAAAACGAATTTACAAAAGTGTAGCTAAGTTTGGATGGCATATCTTGAAGACTAACTTTTTAGTTTAGCATTCGATCGGCCTCAAACTCATTTCAATTTTCACCCGCAACAGTGGTAAATTGGCGGATCAACGATCTTTAGGATTTATCTATATAATATATAAAGATCCGATGGACGTACAAAAAGTCTTATAATGAATCAACTTAGCTTGATCAAAGAGATCAAGTATATATGGAGGATGTCTTTATATATGCGTTACAAATTTCGTAACCCATTTATAATACTCTGTGCAAGGGTATTGTTTTTGGTATTTTTTGAAGAGTGTTGCGTGCGTGTCCCTGAAATTGCACGGATTTAGCTGTGTGCATAAATAATTGTTTCTGGTTACACGAGTCTGATAATTGCCCTGCAAAGCGTTCTGCTGATATCGATATTGATAACACGACTGATTTCAATCAATAGCCACAATTTCAGCTGATTAAACATGCATACACACACACACACACGCGCACACACACACACGCTCACTTTTAGCATTCGCCATTGATGCTTGATATAATGAAGGGCCCTCAATTGAAGCCCAGCTGCAGGTCAACAAGTACAGCAGGTGTATCTTTTATTTATCAGCTAAATTGTCGTTTAACTATTTATGTTAATGGAGCATTTTTAAATGAGGCACGCGGCAAGCGGCAAGCGGCTCGGCAAAGGCATTTTTACTGCCGCTCAATTGATCTGCAATTTATGCACATACATAAGCACATAGAGGCACACGCACACATGCACAGCTACATGCACACAGCATGCACATGTGTGTGTGTGTGTGTGTGTGTGTGTGTGTGGATTCCATGCATAACTGTAAGTGCTCTCAATGGCTCAGTCATTGATTTTTGCTAAAAGTTTAATTGAGTCGTCATCGACAGTTTGCTGCGGCTCACATACACACATGCACACACACACACACACACGTGTGTGTCTGTTGTGTGCATGCATTAATAAATAGATTTTATGTGTATTTGTGTGTGTGGGTGCTGTTAAAAAATTCGAGCTGCGCGTGAAATTTTTTACAGCTCGCAAAAAAAAAAATATGTAAAGTTGAATGCAACGCGTGCGGTGGCTGCTGCATGTGGCGCCATCTGCCCATTCCACTCAACAAAAACAAGTTACGTACGAAAGCTCTTACGCTCTGCGCCCTCTCTCTCACTCTCTCACTCTCGCTGGCCAACAACAATCTGGCGCTTAATTAAGCTCGCGTCTGTCTGCTGCCCTCTTTTTCATTGCAAAGTGAGAGTGCGAGAGGGCGTTGCTGTTGCTGTTGTTGTTGTTGTTGTTGTGTTTGTTTGTAATTGATTCTGAATAGACAGCGAACGGGTTGAATATTTTGTGATTTGTCTTCAATTATTCAACTTGAAAGCAAACTTGTTTTACCAATTAGCTGTACTGCCATCGTACCGTTATCAAAGAGTTGACTCTTGACCCAGTTGCAAGTGCAGCAAGCCCTTTGAAACCCGCAACATTGCCAGCGCCCAGCTGAGCCAAACAACAGGTGGAACGGGTTTTTCTTATAGGGACCTATGAACACACACACACACACACAAACACGCTTATGTATATACATACAAAGGCATGCACAGCAGGTTGAGTAAATTGTCGGTATGTACTTACCGTTTCAGTTATATAGCAAGTGCTCGGATTTGTAATCTAAACTGTTGTGTTGTGCGCTTTACAGATTTGCTTGCAGAGATATTTTTACGTTGGCTTAATAGTTGCTATAGTTGAATCATCAGATCGATCACATATATGTATATATGTATGTGTGTGTGTATGTATGTATATGGGAGCACTGATCGTAAATTGAATAACTTTTGCAAATCAAATTTTATGGCCACATACTCATAGACACACTCGAAATGGCACTCGAAAGAACTCAATATAATTTTCACCTTGAGTGCGCGCACTTAACCACAAAAAGCGCAAAGGGGAAGCAGAAGCAGAAACAGAAACAGAAACAAAAACGGCGCCCGACCGCATACAATAATAACAATAACAATGTTTGAGCAGCGCCAGCGGCAGAGGCAGCCGTTCGCCGCTTTTGCTGCTGCTGTCAATAAGTAAACGCAAAAAAAAAACACGCGACAACAATTCCGCGTACGGCAGCAGCAGAAGGCGATACATAAACTACGCTCAAAATAACGTCAACAACTACGCCCCCGCGCCCACTTACCGCTGGGGCAACAGCAGCAGCAGCAGCAGCAGCAGCAGCGGCAATAACAACGCGACAACGCCAAAAGACAACTTTTGAGACACCGCACTGTCCGCGGCAGCAGCAGACGACGATAAAGCCGACGTCAACGTTAACGTCAACGCAAGCAAACAAAACGCGCAAACAATGGTCAATTTTCAATTTCAATTTTCTCACATTTCCATGCACATTTTTGATCCAGCCAACATGCGCACTTCGACCCACTACAGGGCCACACACTTTTTCAATATATTTAAAAACAAATTGGCAGCTTAAAGATGATTAAAATGCGATTTTAGAATGCGATTGTTTTTTCTTTTTAATTTTGCTTGCGCAGCGCTGCGCGATAAGAAAATACGCGACAATGCGACACGCGACAACGACGAAGACTGAACGCAATGGGCGGGCAACAAGTGTCAAAAACATATGATCGTTCAGTCTCCGTACGGTCTGGCAATATCGAAGCGAACTTTAACATATGATAAGTTAACGAAGCGGATTGGGCAGCGCTGCACACTTGCGATCAGCAGTGGCAACGCCAAAGAGCGGGAAAATTTGAAGTAAACATTTAAGCATTTAACACTTTTTATTGCAGAAAATGTTCAGAGCATAATAAATCGCGGGCTGCTAAAGAAATCAGCGCGCCACCCAGCTACAATTGTCAAAAGTTGCAAACAAAGAGCCGCACGCAGCAATATGGCTGCTGCATTTGCTTATCGCTGGCTTTTGTGTGCGGCTGGCATTGTTAATGTGCTGCCGATTGGAGCACAAAGGCACACAGCTTCAGATAATCCCTCAACGTACAATATAGGCGGCGTATTGAGCAATTCTGAAAGCGAGCTGCACTTTCACACAACAATAGCGGTAAGCGAGCCCATGCCTTTCAGTTCCCCTAACAGGATTGCGTAATTCTAATGTGATTTAATCCTGTAACCTTCCCCCCCCTTGCAGCATCTAAATTTCGATCAGCAGTATGTGCCGCGCAAAGTTACCTACTACGATAAGACAATACGCATGGATAAAAACCCAATTAAAACGGTGTTCAACGTCTGCGATAAGCTCATCGAAAAACGAGTAAGTACTAACTAACAATTAGGCGCAGTCCCGACAAAATCTGCATCTCGGCTGGCAACGCAAATACAATTACCAGTGCTGCCACCCCTCGTTTGGCGCCATCTTCATTTTAATAATTCAAAAGGAAATGAATCGGAAATGACTCGATGACAAACGGTAATTCGCCTGTGCATATCACATACACTCATTTTGTTCGCTCGTTTCACTCGGATGACTGCCTTCGCATTTCGGCGAGCAAAATGGAAGCAAATAATATGCTTTTCAAGATAGTCCTAATTTAAATACCCTGTGCTACTAGGCAAACTAAAATGTCCAGTTGGGACTTCAACAGAATTCCCATGGAAAAGCTCTCAGTTGAAATGCGAAAAATGAACACATAAGGAACTCTGCCAGGGGCATATTACAAAGATGTCCTCAGGCTTCATTAATCACACATTGCCTAGTACATAACTCAGCTGTGCTCCATTGGAATCAATTTGGAACGTGTAATTGTCATTTATCATTTGTGGCCATTTTGAGCCTTTCATTACACACCCAGGAGAACGAATCAGTGTCAGTAGAGAGCTGGCGCCAGGCGTTCGGGTTGTTGCCAGCAAATGATGCACACACATTTTGGCAGTCGATTGCAAATGCTGGTGACGCCCAATTCGATTTACACTTCCGTTTGTCTTGGCCTCCAGTGTTTGCCCCCGCACCGTTTACCTTTCGCATTTTGTGCCGCTTTTCAGGTCTACGCCGTTGTCGTTTCGCATGAGCAAACCTCAGGTGATTTGTCGCCGGCAGCTGTGAGCTATACCAGCGGCTTCTATTCCATTCCCGTCATTGGCATATCCTCGCGGGATGCGGCCTTTTCCGACAAGAATATCCACGTCTCTTTCCTGCGCACCGTGCCTCCCTACTATCACCAGGCGGACGTTTGGCTCGAATTGCTCAGTCACTTTTTGTACACCAAGGTAAGCAAATGCTCCGAATTATGACGCGTTAACTTATGGAATTCTCATTGCCCTCGACAGGTAATCATCATTCACAGCTCCGATACGGATGGACGCGCCATCTTGGGTCGCTTCCAGACCACCTCGCAGACCTACTACGACGACGTCGATGTGCGTGCCACCGTGGAGCTGATTGTTGAATTCGAGCCCAAATTGGAAAGTTTTACGGAGCACCTGATTGACATGAAAACCGCACAGTCTAGGGTATACCTCATGTATGCCAGGTAAGTTAATAAAGGGTTTAGAAATTGTGAAAAAATACGGTCGCCTAGAAGTATGCTACATATTTTCTTATGAGTTTATAGGATTATGTTTAATGGGAAAAAGTAGGTCTATCTTCGGCACACCGATGCTTTGATACCCTGGCAGACATTTTGCTTTTTAAATATGTGGGAATAGTAAGGCTCGTAAATGCTAGGACAAATGGACTTGGCTAAATTAGGTCGGATTAGGACTCCATAGTAATATATTTAATGGGCTCGGAGATGTCTACTTCTTTTTCATTATAAATTGGAAACGCCCAAAATTCTCTATTAAGGAAAATCACCTTTAATTTTATAGACACCAAAGCCTTTAATCACCGCAATGGAGATGGAATGGCCTAACCCTTGGCCAGACTCCAATCCATCTATCATTTACCAAAAGCTGCTCAGCTTGTTGAGAGCGTAGCCATTATTCCATGTCCCCAGGCCTCTTAAGATATATCTATGATATCCATTTACAGCACGGAGGACGCTCAAGTGATATTCCGCGATGCTGGTGAATATAATATGACCGGCGAGGGACATGTGTGGATTGTTACCGAACAGGCGCTGCATGCGAACAATACGCCCGACGGAGTGCTCGGCCTGCAGCTGGAGCACGCCCACAGCGACAAGGGACACATTAGGGTAAGTCAAGTAAGTGAATGGAGGCACAGTTTAACTATTCATGATTCATCGCTTGCAGGACAGCGTCTATGTGCTGGCCTCGGCCATCAAGGAAATGATTTCGAACGAGACCATCGCCGAGGCGCCCAAGGACTGCGGCGATTCGGCGGTCAACTGGGAGTCAGGTGAGCATTTAATATGGCCAGGGAGTGCAAAATAAATGCATCATTAAATGCGTGTCGCACAGGCAAGCGACTGTTTCAGTACCTGAAGAGCCGAAATATTACGGGTGAAACGGGTCAGGTGGCCTTCGATGACAACGGGGATCGCATTTACGCCGGCTACGATGTGATCAACATACGCGAGCACCAGAAGCAGCACCTGGTGGGCAAGTTCAGTTACGATAGCGTAAGTGAATACACATCAATTTAAAAGTGCGAGATTCCCAAATTGATTTCCCCTTCCAGCTAAGGGCCAAGATGCGTATGCGCATCAATGACAGCGAGATCATTTGGGGCGGCAAACAGAAGCGCAAGCCGGAGGGCATCATGATACCCACGCATCTAAAGGTGCTGACCATAGAGGAGAAGCCCTTTGTCTATGTGCGGCGCATGGGCGACGATGAGTTCCGCTGCGAGCCGGACGAGCGTCCCTGCCCGCTGTTCAACGCCAGCGATGCGACAAGTAAGCTCCATAACCAGAGTACCCAGCCCCTCACTCCTATCAATAATTGGCTCAATCTTGTGCTCTGTCCACAGCGAACGAGTTTTGTTGTCGTGGCTACTGCATTGATCTGCTCATCGAGCTCTCGAAGCGCATCAATTTCACCTATGACCTGGCCCTGTCGCCCGATGGCCAATTCGGACACTATATCCTGCGCAACAACACGGGCGCGATGACTCTGCGCAAGGAGTGGACGGGCCTCATCGGCGAGCTGGTCAATGAACGTGCCGAGTAAGAAGTCTAGAAGCTACACTCAGAGAAAATATAGTTACACAAATACGTTTATCTTAAAATTAAGTATGAATCCCCCTTGCAGAGGGCATTCGAAGTTTGTCGTAAGGATACTTCTCCGACCCCATGAAGTATATATCTTCTTGATACTGATCAACTGGCGAATCGATATGTCCGTCTGTCTGTTTCTCTGCGAACTAGTCTCTCAGTTTTAAAGCCATCGTCAGGAAACTTTGCAGATGTCGAAACCGGCTGGATCGAACTAATATATCATATAGCTGCCATATCGATCGATCGATGATCGATCGAAAAGTAGGTTTATGAAGATATCTTAACCAAACTCGGCCTTAACTTAACATCGGTCTTCTTTCCCGTTCTCATTATATAATCTTTTCTCTGAGTGTACGAGTAGCTGCCATTTGCAATCGAATTTGATTTAATTTGTGTGTTTTCTATATATTTCTAGCATGATCGTCGCACCACTAACCATTAATCCGGAGCGTGCCGAGTATATCGAATTCTCGAAACCATTCAAATACCAAGGCATTACAATACTCGAGAAGAAACCGTCCCGATCGAGTACTCTTGTGTCTTTCTTGCAGCCATTTAGTAACACGCTATGGATCTTGGTAATGGTGTCGGTTCATGTTGTGGCGCTCGTGCTCTATCTGCTGGACAGGTGCGTAACAAATGACAATCTTAATTTCACATCTAACCAAAACCCGGACACAAACCTTAACCCAATCATACCATCGCAAACCCAACCCCATCTTGTTGAGTGTTGGCCTGGACATGATGCTCGTTGCCGTATTTGACGGTTGAAGGGCAGCGAGCCGAGCGAACAGCCTCACGTAGAAATCCCCAGACATCACTTAGCCATGGTTCCAGCTGGACAATTGAGCATACGTTGTACTAACTCAGTGATTCTCTAATACTCAGATTCTCACCGTTTGGACGCTTCAAGCTATCGCACTCGGACAGCAACGAGGAGAAGGCCCTCAATCTCAGCTCGGCGGTGTGGTTCGCCTGGGGCGTGCTGCTCAATAGCGGCATTGGCGAGGGCACGCCGCGCAGCTTCTCGGCCCGTGTGCTGGGCATGGTCTGGGCTGGTTTTGCCATGATTATTGTCGCCTCGTACACGGCCAATCTGGCCGCCTTTCTTGTGCTGGAGCGACCCAAGACGAAGCTGAGCGGCATCAACGATGCCCGTCTGCGCAATACCATGGAGAATCTAACCTGTGCCACGGTCAAGGGCTCATCGGTGGACATGTACTTCCGCCGCCAGGTGGAGCTATCCAATATGTATCGCACCATGGAGTCCAACAACTATGTTACCGCCGAGCAGGCCATACAGGATGTGAAGAAGGGGTAACTTGCCAGCGTTGGCTTCGACTCTTTCTTTATAGCTCAAATAGTCGCATGATTTTGCCACTACAACTAACTAACAACAACAACAACTCTCTTCACGTTCCCCACTCAATGCAACCTCTTAGAGTTCTCTTTATCGCTCTACCCCCCTCTGTCTTTCTCTCTCTCTCTCTCTCTCTCTCTGTTTCTCTTCAGTAGCCGTAGTAATCGTATTCTTCCCGTACTTAGAGAGCCTCTAAAACTATTTCCTCTAAAAAAAAAAAACAACTATTTTATCTACTCACGTATGCGTTGTACTAACATATTCTAAGTCCCATTTGTTGGCTTGGATTCTAAGAGATCTGATCTTTCGCTTGCAGCAAGTTGATGGCTTTTATTTGGGATTCGTCTCGGCTCGAATATGAGGCTTCCAAGGACTGTGAACTGGTCACGGCTGGTGAGCTCTTTGGACGCAGCGGCTACGGCGTTGGCCTGCAGAAGGGTTCGCCTTGGACGGATGCCGTAACGCTGACCATACTGGAGTTCCATGAGAGTGGGTTTGCGCATAGCTATACTGAGAAGCAACAATCGAAATCAAATATGTTTCTCTGCACAGGCGGCTTTATGGAGAAACTGGACAAACAGTGGATCTTTCATGGCCACGTCCAGCAGAACTGCGAGCTCTTCGAGAAGACGCCCAACACGCTGGGCCTGAAGAACATGGCGGGCGTTTTCATTCTGGTGGGCGTGGGCATCGCCGGCGGCGTGGGTCTCATCATCATCGAGGTCATCTACAAGAAGCATCAGGTGAAGAAGCAAAAGCGCCTGGACATTGCTCGGCACGCGGCGGACAAATGGCGCGGCACCATTGAGGTAAAACCCACTTGACCCTTACCCAAAGCCTGGCATATGAAACTAATCTCTGGTTTGCAGAAACGCAAGACAATACGCGCCTCGCTGGCCATGCAGCGACAGTACAATGTGGGTCTGATGGCCAGACAGCCGCCCGGCACCATCAGCCTGGCGGTGGATAAACGCCGCTATCCCCGGCTGGGCCAGCGCCTGGGACCGGAGCGCGCCTGGCCTGGGGATGCGGCCGATGTGCTGCGCACACGCCGACCCTACGATCTGACCAAGTCGGGTCTGGTGCCGCCAGCGCTGGGTCTGGGCAAGACGCGACCCCAACAGAATCCATTGCCGCCGCGCTACTCGCCCGGCTACACCAGCGACGTCTCGCACCTGGTCGTCTAAGTTAACATTTTCGCCTCGGGCTCAATGAAGCCAGAGGCATAGGGATATTATTAATCAACCACGAACATTGATGTCTCAGCGGAACATTCATTTGCTCAATATGAAAGTCTAGACTTAATCACAGTTTATTTATATAAGTGCTGCATTTATGTGTGTGTCCAGCTAACATAATCAAAACCCAGAGTCAAGTTGTATTTATATATATACAAGCACATTTACCATATATATATATATATATATATATACATTTATTTGATGGCAGTTAAGTTTGTGTAGTTGTCTGTAGATTAGTATAAGAATTTGTTGATCTCCATGTTGAATTGTCCCCCCTTCCACATGCTTATTGCTACTGCCCATGTCCGCTTGAGCATATCCGCACTTTTATGCCCTACCAATTGTTATATATGTCAAACGAATTGTAATTCATGAGAAGGAGAAGGATCATCAGAAAGCCCACCCATTGCTGCAGAGTGTATACTAGAATTTGAACACGATTTTCCGGCTATAATACTTAATTTGGGCCGCAACATAAAAGCTCCGATTTTCAAGCAACTTATACACTGCGAAAAGAAAAGCCTATTTATTATATAAACAATGTGAAACGAGTGCAGCTTTTCATTAACCGGCTGAGTCTATTAATCAGATCGATTTGAGCAAACAGCTCGTTTGAGAAACAAATACAGCTAAACAAACACATTCACAAATAGTTTTCAAAATACTTGAATTTAAGCGAACAGAAATGGAAAACAGAAAACAGAAAACTTTAACTTGTCATTGAAAAAAAAAAAACATAAAATGTCTATCTAATGTTAAGTGTGAAAGTTAACAGCATAAATAATGTGAATCATGCCAAACATTCAAATAACTGAAACGAGTTAGTCGAATCGGACAATGGAATCCGATTTTTAAGTGTTTTGAGTGTGTACGCTATTTATGCCAAGCCAAAATAAATAAATATTTAATAGAACCTTACCCCCGACTTATTATTTCCCTCATATTCCAGCTCAAGCCATGCCCGTTGATTGATTCGCATTTCCTTTGCCCAGCGAAGCGCCTAAACCAAATATTTTCAAAAGTTCGCATCTGGATTTCAACAAATTTATACGCAATTTTCGATATTGAACTTTTTGTTATATATTTGGCCCGCCCTCTGAACGTTTGTTAAAGTCCAAACATCCAGCATTGATTGACAAGTTAAATGAATATTTTCCGCCTTGGCAATTATGATGATTGATGGCTTTATTCATTTGCTTGTATTTTCATTGAGGGGCGCTCGATTTGTTACAAATATTTCTATATATAACTATTAGGATCTATGTAGTAAATACGAGAGTATAAATCATGGCATCTTTTATGAACATTTTTAAGATTCGGATTCGATGCATTGACTTTAACAGTGGGAGTGCGCTTGTCGGGAGTGTCCGACTGGGGAATACCCTCAACCTACTTCTGCCATCAATTATCGCAAGCAAGCCCGTACTGTGCTTCAATAGGAGGATCTACGTTCCCCATTGCAAGTCAGAGAGAGCTGCGACCTGCCTAAGAGGCAAACCATCTAAATACCCTACAGAGAAAGGCCAAGCATTGTAAATACCCCTCAATGTAAATTCCAACCAAACATTGTCTCTATGCTTTATAGATTCTCTGTTTTAAGGGCTGAGAGCGACGTATTCGATACATTTGCACAAAACCAATATACCCTCTTTACCCTGTATGGGTACACAATGAAAAAGAATATTTTATCTTTTCGCATTCCAGATACTCAGTCTGTCTTATACTCTGTCTCTTAAAACTGTTACTGAACACTCAACACTGATCTGAACTATTAACTATTATTTGTGCTTGGATAATTCAGATAAATCCTTTAGATGTCTTAGCTTTCTTATCTTAAGCAGCCAAGCTGCACTAATTTATCAACTAGTTCTTCTTCGCACAGAAAAAGATATTGAGTTGGGTTGTAAACGAAGATCTCAATCTTATTTTGGAAGCTCTCAATTAGCTCTCAATATCCCTAGTATGCATGTGCCAAGGAATAATTGGCTTTCTGAATTGGGAGCTTTATTATGGTACTTCTGAAAATGCGTTCTTTATTCCCATCATTCTTAACGTAAAGTTAGACACAAGTTATAAAATGATATCAGTTTGAATAGTATTAAAGGTATTACTGGCTTGCTATTGATTGCTATCTGAAAGCCGCAGTATACTCCAGATCGGCCTTGCCTGTGACCCAGTCTCTACTAGATTTAGTTAGTTCACCTTATCGACATAGACAATGGAACTCAAGAGTCCAGCCGATTGAGCTTTTAAGACCAACATTGAGCAAACACTCGGCTGCAAGGCAAACACGTAGCTCCAGTCGTAAACTCTTATCACCAACCTTTCGTATACGAGTACTTTTTATTATGGCGCATAATTAAGAAACCTTTAAGCTGTCCAGGTTGACCCTTTTACCGAGTCTAATATACAACCTGGACACGTAAGTATGTTAACATTTAAGGCGCAGAACACAAGAAAGCAACGATCTTCAACAGCTTCTCGAGAAAGTCCCATAAAAGAATCGATGCCCGCCAAAGGCAGATGCATAAATCACCTGAATGGATGCGTTAATGAGGAAAGCGGGGAATTGCAAGAAGTGAAAACGTTGCCGTCGATTTTAACCGACTTGGCAATATCCTACTTCTAAATTGAGATTTGACGGCGGTCTTCAGTAGTCTACTAATTTGGTACATAAATTCTAGAATTGAGCCACAGTTTTCTCCAAAAATGGTTCAAATTGAAAAAGTTTACGTTTCGAAGAGAGCTGCAAAGCAAAAATAACTTAACATTTATTTTACCCTGTTCGATAGAACGGAAAAATATTAATTATAAATCCGAATAGTTCATTAGAGATATGAAGGTTTTTTTTGCAACGCAACTCAAGACAGCAAGCTGGTTCAAACCGCAAATGTTGTTTGGTTTCGATGGCCTGGCATTTAGTTGGACAGCCAGATGCACAGCAAGATGTGGGCTTAATTAAACAACACACTCTTGTTCCGTTTTTTGCTTTTATCTCATTTAACCATAAATATCAGATAATAAATTGCAGCTTTTAGTTGCCAGCACTGGGCATCAACTGGGACTGGGAACCGAAGCCACAGATAACATGTCTACAAATATTAAATTAATATAATTAGGCTAATTAAACATTTGGTTCTAAATAGTTTTCTCTTTTTTTTTTTTGTAATATGTGTTATTATTTTGTTTATCAATTGTCACACTTGCCGCACAGTCCAGCAGTCCAACAACAACGTCAGCAAACAGCCAACCAGGCGAACAGCCAACCAGGCGAACAGCCAACCAGGCGAACAGCCGAGCAACTGCCTATTACGATCCGACCAGACGAGCCGGCGCTGAGCGAGTTGTAACTGCAACAAAGCGGTTCGAATCAGTCTTATTAATGACTGGGCGATGATTCGTTAGCCGACTGCAAAAAAAAATTAATAAAAATGAAAAAAAGCTGAAAAAAAAGAGTAAAACTTGAAAAAAAAGAGTACTGAAGTGAGATGAATTAACTGAGTTGAGCGCAGAGCTCAGCAAAAATCCCAGGCACCAAGTCCCATGTCCAGATTGTAATGTGACTGTGTGTGTGTGTGTCTGTGTGTGTGTGTGTGTGTGGGGTGGGGGGGGTTGGGGGGGGGGGGGGGGTATGGATCAGCATACAACTAGTTGGCTCAATTGACAAACTGAAAGCTGAAAATGATATGTTAAATGTGTATGCCGCAACTGCTGAGCATGATTCAAGAATGTGATTTGAATACTTCAACATTACTTGCAGAAGATTCAATTAAAACTTTACACTTACCCTTTTAGATATTATGGAAACTTATTAAGACTTTGTAGACTTGAAGTTGAGCTGCAGCTAAGCTTAATGATCCCTTAAGAAAGTACAATCAAAGTTGGAATACCCCTAGCATTTGTGATTCTTACGAGTACTTACGAATACATACGAGTACTCACGCGCACTTACGAGTACTCAGATGGTGCTTAGCTCATTTCCCTGTGCTCTCCGGATGTCCGAGTGACGTAGGCAATGCATAAATTAAAAATATGTTTAATAAAATAATTAAAATTAATATTAAACAAAAAGAGAAAAACAATGTATTTATAAAATACATAATATACAATTACAGACAATATTGAAAAGGTTTGTATGCAATATCCAAAGTGAAAAGGAAATACAAGAGACGCCTTCCTGGGCCCAAGCTATGGGAAATGCGTTCATGAGTAATATCGATGCTTAGAGTCCGATCTCTGTACAATTTCAAGGTCGTTAATGAAGGCCGACATGGGGACGGACATGACATAACAGGCGACTCGGGTCGCCTTTCTTATCATGGATATATATAATTTATGAATATATATACTTTCTACGCAGGAAACATTTGTATGTTTCGTTCCCTTTGTCTCATTCATTTTCTACGGATTCAGCGCAGCAAATAAAACAAATATATTAATTATAAATAATCTAAGATTCTGGCTAAAAAATGAAGTGCTCTGTTGAAAATTGTCATGTGCCATTGGCAATTTTCACTTTCAGGCAGCATTGTTATCATTATTATTGAAATCCAGGCAACTGATCTGATCTTTGCCAAACCACTTAACAGGCTGCCAGATATCTGGACAGACTTCTAAGTGGCTGCATAAACATTCCTCGATTGGTGAGCAATCTAATTCACCAGCCAATTGACGTCAGGCATGCGCATTGGAGACAAAGGCTCTGCATTGTCGAAGCGATTGTATCTAGATACTTGTCGATCTGGGCGGATATAACGCATCGACTGGCGCCAAATTAAAACCTTTTTAAAGTGGTATAAAGCAGTTCATTTAATTAATAATCAAGTTTTCGTTTTCGCCCAAAATAAAGGCAGCTAATTGATAGATCCACGCGACCTCGAATCCCAACCCCTTGCCCCTTTCATTAATGTTGCAAGATCGTCTCCAAGTCAGCCAAAAAATATCTACACATAGATATTGGTATATTCGTAGTGTAACAAGTCCATTAATTAGCAATTGTACACTGTTATACACTGTTATACGCTGTTATACAATACAATACAACTGTTAAACATTTGATTTGCCTAAACCGAATCCCCTTTCCATATCTAGATATACTTAGATATTGGTATATTCGTATTGTTACAGGTCTGTAAACTAACAGTTGTAACTGTTATACGTTGTTATACAACTGTTAAGTATTTGATTTGCCGAAACCGAACCCGCTTCCCCTTTCATTAATTTTGCAAGATCGTCTCCAAGTGTCCGACTCATATCTAGATTTAGATATTGGTATATTGGTATTGTTACAGGTCCATTAATTAGCAGTTGTACACTGTTATACGCTGTTATACAATACAATACAACTGTTGAGCATTTCATATGCGTTGTAAAATAATCAATTTGTCTGTTTCACGAATTGTTTACTCTATTTATTAGACGAATTTGTCCCTAGGGCAGGTAGATACAGCGTCCACGTGGGTCTAAATGTGTTTTGGACCCGTGCCTGTAAAAAGGTGCTAATCACTGAATGTCAATTAAACCGCTTGCAACAGGTTTGGATTGGTTGCGCTTACCTTGATTTCCATAGAAGGTGAACAACAATAGATTTAAGTCTTATCAGAAAACTTTATCTCTCCGAATTCGTATGATAAGCCCACCGATTGGAACCTATCCCAAGAACGATTTTCAGATATTTTCACCCGCACGGATTTTATACTAATGAGCACCTTAAACAATTTCCCGTTAATCAATAGACTATTTTAATCGTTGATTAGTTTCCTTAAAAATATATCTAAAACGAAAGCTTATCTCAATTATATTTATGTTTACAGTGTCATAACATTAATAATACATTTACCTACATATTGTTAAAATGAAAAATAAACAAACAATAATGCTGCAATCCATAGTGATCGACCTGGGGATACCCTGCAATCAGAAATGATTTCTGTTGCAAGTGAATAGTTCAATATATTTTGAGAAATTAAAATCTTTTTTGTCAGCAAATCAACCAAAAAAATTCCAAAAGCCTTAAATATTTGCTTAACAATCCGTTTTCTAGTATTTATTATACCGAGTTGAGCAAATTTTTATTGATTACAGGGTATAAAACTGAGTGAAAATCAAAGCAAAATTGCAATTCAAGAGCAATTCAAATTTTATTGCTAGCCGCTCATAAATAAATTAAGTTTATTTCTTTCAACCAAATTGGAAGACGAAAAGTAAAATTCCGCGTGCCATCTTTGAGGCCAAAAATGAAAGAGAAGAATCTTTAAAGAACTCGACTATCTGCACAGTCAGAGCCACAAATTGTGGCAAGTTTAACAACTGATGAGCCAATTGGGGCCAACAATTGAATTATGGCAGCACAAATAAACCATAAGGCACTCTGGCCTGGCGTCTAGAATCACATATGTGCCTATGGAACCTAAATTACATATGGCCATTGTAAGCATATGAGTTTACTAAGCTATGCAATCAATTTCGGAATATTAGTTTTTATGGCGTCTCAAATCGAATGCATAAGAAGAAATTTAAATCGAATGAATAGTATAAACAATGTGTAAACTATTTATAATTGGCATGAGAAATTGCCCAAATGCGAAAGCCAGCTGAGTGTGAAAAATACATCGTAAATGTACACACACACACACACACACATATGTACCCATACATATAAACACATAAACTCATTATTATATTAATAAAAATTTACGACTCTCGATTTTAGTATTATTAGGCTTATATTCAGTTGTTAGGCAAATGCATTTATTGCACTTATAGAATAGTTAGCCAAAACAGCCATAAAGGAAAAAAATATATATATGAAAGGGTGAATACTTAATGCTACGTGAAACAACAATAAAATGACGCAGCTGAGGCAGCGAAAATGTTCAAACCTATTGCTGATATTAACGTGAATATAATTAACAATTTTTGCTGTAGTTTGATGTATCTGCAGTAACTAGTTATTACATGAACTTAGCAACAAGCGTTACAATAATGAAGCACGAAATAATCATGTTTTAGTTATCAATTCGAAACGAAATTCCATTCGCCGAAACCCTTAATACTCTTTAGTACTTGAGTACGGCAACAGTGTAGATAATTGAGTGCGTTCTACAGTGCGTATGAGCAATCCATGGACAACTTTAACTGCATTTGGAGCAGGCAAAAAAACCAGAGATAAGATACGCCAATTCTTTGAAAATCTGCACATAAATCCCCAATCATTCGTGCTACGATAAGATCTGTCCCGACTATGTTTTCCATGCCATGTAAAAGTTTTCAGCTAAGTACATTTCAGGTGCGTTAACCTGACATGTTCGAGTAATGCAAAGCCGAAAACCTGTATGAAACTGTGGGAAAATGACGTAGAAATATTGATATATAAAAAATATAGAAGCCCAATTGGGCTGAGAGTGCATCCAGAGGTAAAAGAGAAATGTGGCCAACAGTTTCGGCCAGAAGCTGCTTTAGTATAACAGCAATAATTTTATGCATGTCAACGTCTTTCGACGCTTAGTCGGTTTTGGCTTTAGTCGGTTCCGATCGGTGGTCGGAAACATGAGCGAAGAGTGACTTTGATATAATTAAGCAGCAGCAGCAGCAGCAGCAGCAACTCTTTGCTGGTTTTGTTTGAAGTGTAACTGCTTTTTGGCTCTGCTGGCAACAAGTCAGCCAGGCAGTCAGCCAGCCAGCCAGCCAGTGAGCCAACGAGCCAGCCAATCAAACCAGATAAAACCGATTTTAATTCGATTAAAGGGGTTTTCGCTACGCTCTTTGGCCAGGTTGCGGTTGCTGTTGTTGTTGCGGTCTGGGTAGTAAAGATGTTATGAGCTGGTGTGTGTGCGATAGTGTTAGTGCGATTCGCGTCATATTGTTACGAATTAGGTAAACAAAAGAAACGAGCTAATAGCAGCCTTAAGCACCTCAAAGAGGAAATTCTTATTAAACCGCACTAAAATTTTGCACAGAGTACCAAATTCGAGAAGCGCCAGTGACAAATTAACAAAATGGCGTTACAATTAACACTGTTAACCTAACGCCGAAAATACCACAAAAATATCAACAGTCAGCAGGTCCTGGCATACAAGTGTGTGAATATACATATGTTATGTGAACACAAATGCTGGTCACCCTAAAACTGTTGCTGTTAATGTAAATTACATACTGTACTGTTTGTTTAACTGAACATTACTTGTATTCTCTGTGAGATTAACACGCTGCGGCTGCTGGCTGTTGTTGCATGTTCTCCGTCGAGAGAGCGGCCACTGTTACTATTTTCCACATATGCAAGCCTGTGTGCGTTTGTGTGTGTGCGCGTGTGTGTTGAAAATGAGCGGGCAGCAAACAAACACTTGTTGAAAACTCACCACACTCACTCTCGCACACACACACACACGCGCACTGCGCATTATTCTTACCGTATACGTATTTGATTGGTGGTAATCAAGCGAAAGCCGCAGCAGCAAACAGTCAGAATGGTGTCCATAATCGAAATATCATAATAATCCAGCGGCAAACACTTGACAACGCTCAAACGAGGTGCGACAGCCAGCGCGTTAAGTTGTAAGCTGTAAACGGCGCGTACAGCATTCTGTTAGCGCTAAATAACGTCAAGCGTTTCGTTTAACGTACTTCCCCTATGCGTAACAAGATTTAGTAGTTTGAATGCTACGCGTTAAATATATGCCAGCATTTCGCATTGGCTGTTAAACGTTGCTGAAACCTCGTTGTGTGCACGTCATTGACGCTCCGTCCGGCTTCGTTTAACCGTAATATACGATAACAGATCACGCTCTGCCGCAAACTCAAAGCTGGGCACACTCTTCACTCAAAGGTCCTGCTGGGCCACCAAGTGCAATGCAAATGTGCGCGCTGAACAACATCGATCATTTATTTTAACGCGATAAAAGTTACGCATAACGAGTGTTGAACCCAAAAAAAAAAATTCAACAAATAAAAAAACCCCAAAAAACGTTCAGTTGATTCACCAGCAACAACAACAACATCCATCACAATGGCAGATCGCTTTCAGATCTCAAAGGTTAATGGCAG